AAATAAATATTATCCAATAAAAATATAGCCGTACTTCAAAAAATTAATGCCTAGTTACCATCCAAAAGAAAGGAGAAGTTCCTTTTTCCTATTCGTTCAAAAATAAAAATTCCAACCCACCCCTTTGCTTCGTAAAATAAAATTCAACATAATCCATTAAGAAACTACCTTTCGTAATAAACCTCTCCCAATATAAGATATTTAAAATAATTAATATAAAATCATATTTTTATTTAAATCTAAAAAATATAATTTATATAATCCTAAATTAAATTAATCTCAAAATAAAAAAATATATCTAAATTCCAATATAATTATATATTATATTTTCTTTATTAATTTTAACCATTAAATAAATCTTTTTAATTAAATTTAATTAAATTTTAATCATATATAATAATATATATTTTTAATTAAATTTAATAAATTATTATATATAATCTCAATTAATTATCATTTTAAAAATTATACTATTATTTTTCAATATTTTACGTATATATATTCAATAAACAAATCCTATAATATTAAAATATTGTTCAATTATTTTAAACATAATTCTTAAATATATTATTTAAAATTATATATATTTAATTAATATATATTTAATTCATCAAATTTATAAAATAATTATAATTTCAATTCATACATAATTTTTTATTTATTTATTTATTTTATATATTATATGCATATTTTATGGATATATAAGATATATATATATAATCTATATAATTATTTTTGATTTTTCGCTGGCCGTTAAGCCGAAAAATACTTCCACATTTGAAGTAGTTCTGTCCAATATGTTTTCGACAGTTGTGCCTTTGACAACTGAAAGTTCTTTTGCCACTGCCAACCTAAATCGGATTTGATGGCTGAAGATCCTTCTGTTAATTGCAGACCTGTTGCAAACTTGGAAATTCCATCAAGCATTTTCTACATTTGAGCAGTTCCCAAATCCATCCAAAATATCCAAACACTACCCGTCAGAAAGCTTCTTGCTAACATGTGGGGATCAATTATGTTTGAAGGTGGTGTTTAAAACTTGGAAGTCCATCACCGACGTAACCCTTTCAAAAGTGGCCGCCAATGGACCATCAACAGCGCAGCTTAGCCAAGAAACACATGGCTGGGATGAGAATAACATCCGCGTGAACTGCCATGACCAGAAGCATCTGCCGGTGGAAAGCTGGGTCCCAAGCTCTCCTCAACATTCCGGCAAAAAAAACTCTGATGTTCCAAGCGCAAAAGGGGGGGCCTGCAGGCTTTCGATGACTTGGGACATTCCTTTCTTAATCATCTTAATCCACCGGCACTTAGTGGTTAGAGATTACGCCTCAAAAGAGATAAAACATACAGCTAGACTCCAGACCAAAAGCCTTTGAAAGATGAAGCCACACAGCCACACCGGGTCCTGGAACCCTCCAGTAAATCCACCTGAAACACCGCTTACTTGTTGGAACATCAAACTTCCAGCCAGCCACTATTTGTTTACTATAGGCTCCTGGGGGCCCTTGTCCCGTCCACACCTTTCGCTCCGGCCAAGCGGCTAGAAGACATCTATCCTGGAATGGAGGCAGCGGGGGGGATTAATTTAAACAAATGATTCAAATGATGCAACATGTTCTCCCGGCATTCATATTGTCGTATTGATGGCCACTTTACGGCGACTTGGATACATGCCGCTTTCCAGTGAGATAACGAGCAAGTGCAATTCATTGCAAAGGTTGGTTGGTAGGATGACTGGCATGGGGTGCATCACCCTACAGGAAACTCATGGAAATTATGCCAGCATCAATGTCTCCCGCCCGCCAACCCAAGCTGTGACGCGGCTCCATGGGCACGTCATATGCCACTTGTCCCAGCTGGGTCTTCAGTTTCGAGTGTGTCAATAGCCCACTAAAGCCTTGGGGCTGTGGACCCAAGCCATGTGCTCATAGGTGTGACATGGTGTGACCATGTGCTCAATCAACGTTGCACGATATTGGGGGCTGATTCTTTTTTCCCAGAGTCAATGAGAAACATGGCGAAAGATGTGCCAAGCTGGGTTAGAAACATTTAGAAACGATGTTCAACAGGAGCATGGGCAATGATTTGGATGATTTGGATTGCCAAATTCAAACTCCATTGGGATTGGATCTGGTTTGCCACGTTGGCGCCATGGCCGGTCTGGCCCCAAGTTGGGCGCTGATTTCCAACCAAGCAGCCCACCATCATCCCTGGGAAAGACTTCATGAAGGCAGGTACCTATGTCGGAAGTGCCAGCTGGTGATCAGCCACGAAGCTGGCTACTTGTGGGAGCAGTTTTCAGCCAATTCCAGCAGAAATGTCTGGGTATTTCTACCTGGAATCATCTGGAATCACTATCAACTAAGATCCAACTAAGTCTTGGCCCAGGAACACAATGGGGCCTTCCATGAAACGACGACCTCAGAGAGTTTCTGGGTGATTCAAAGTGAATTGCAAAAGTTTGTTGGAAGGGCATGGGTCAAATGTCAGGCTTTGGTGGACACACGTGCACTCTGGTCATTTCTAGTTCTTACCTGAATTTATGTGACGTACCTTGGCATTTTGCAACATATTTGATAGGTGATGATTCTTGCCTCATCAGCAAATGCGGCTGATCGGCGCGAGAAGTCCCTGAACACCTTTTCAACTCTCAGGTCTTAAAAAGACAACTTACCACTGGTTTGATATATGTTTACAGCGTTTTACAGCTACATTCATTTGAAGTTTGCACGGAGTGATCCCAATCCATCGTTTGGTTGGTGATTCCAGGCCCCCGACACCTTGCGAGTCAGCTTTCACGCTTTGACAGCACACATCAATGTTTTGAAGCCACCATCTAACCCAACAAAATCAGAGGTGAACGAGCCAGCGACCGAGAGAACCCAAGCTGATTGCATGTGCATCCCGGTTGCCATGTGGACAATCACTCAGGTATATTTTTTAAAGATCTTTCAAAAACATAAAAGCTTGGAGTAATGATGTGTGGCCATCCACTGAATCACCGGGATGAGGGATGCATAATGCTGCTTCCAAGACACAACATCATAGGATGAGTGGAGCCTTCACCAAAGACCTTCACCAAAAGCTCTGCCAGTGACCTGCCGCAAGGCCCGAAGTTGAACTTCCCGGGATGGTCAAGGAAGTGGAACGACTTGAAAACCACGACACCTGGACACCTGAAAAATCCCATGTGTCCAATTTATCGATCCCTTACAAAACATGTTTTTTTTCCTCCCAGATTTCCATAGATTCCCCACACATCTAAACGACACAAGCAGCTGCAGACCTTTCCGCATCATCCTGGGGCGGCACCTGGGCCACGGCCGCCACGCCAGCGTTTTGGGAAAAGCTATGGGTGGCCATCGTGGAGTAGATCGAAGATCGATGGAGCTTTCAAAGAAAATTCAGTGAAATTTCAATATTTGAAGTGTCCATGTTCCATATTCCATTTAAACTCCAGGATGACTATAATGTCATGATATGTCCAAAGCCTTTTAGAGGCTTGTTGATTGATGGTTTTGAAATCTTTTGAACACATGCGGGTATCTTCTGCTGACGCACAAGGCACCCCTTGATGACTTGATCTGGCAGGATTCTTGCTATCTTCGACCGGAGCACGACACTTTCAGCAGGAATGCTGTATCGTTGTTTCACCTCAAAAAACCTGCATCAAAAAATGCTGATCAACTGCTACAATCTTCCCAATTTGCGCTGAAAGTTGCACATATCTGGAAACCACCAGCTTGATCAGCTCATCCCATCTTCCTGTACCCTGGTCAACCCACAAAGGGGCCTGCAGAATCACCGGAAGTGAAAGCTCTTTGGCCAACTCCAGTTGTGCGATAGCCACAGCCATCTGTGCCTCCAAACGCCGTCTGGTATAGTCTGACCTCAAGTACAAGAGGGGGAAACCAAATCTGCAAATCGTGACAACTGGTCTATAATCTTACTGGTGCTTGGTAGGGCATGCGGGAATGAACAGATTTTTTCATGGTTCAGTGAATTGGATCATTCCCCCCTGTTAAGCACCAGCAATTTGCGATCATGCTTAAGAACTCATCACTTCCGGCCTGAGATAACCCATTGTTGAAAGCTTATGGCACCTGAATGGCAAATGATGGTGGTGTTTGCCAATTCCCCACAAACCAATCGGTTTTTCAGAATCCTCAACCATCAGACCGCTTTTCGTGGGGTTGTACAGTATTGGGGCGGCCCGAAACTAATCCAAGGGTTTAAAACCTCATGTTCCCTTCAATGGCAACACCAACTCTTATAGGACTCATCTGACTTAGGCGTCACTGCAGCCTGCAGAATAAATTCCGAAGATGACACCATCAATAGCTGGCAAATACCATCCCCAATTGATAGGTTTACGGCATAAATTTCTACATTAACAATACATTAACCATCAATGTATATGTACATAATATAGTTATATAACATTATATAACCACAAATGATGAAAAAACAAATGCACTCGGGTAAACTAACATAGACGTGGAAAACCCATGGTTTCCCGTTCGGAAAATGAGCTACATTCAGGGCAAACACCACATCTCGACTTTTTTTGGAAAGGGTTTTTTGCCCTGTACCTGGGAGAAAGGCACCCATCAAGTGGGGCTTTGTCTCAGCCATAGCACTTGGCCGCTTCAAAGTCCCCCAGGCGACGGTCCCCATGCCTGGAGTTTTACACACATCGGTGCATCGCCAGCCATAGTGGAATTCAATGAAGTCCACTGGAAAAAATCATGGAATAATCCCACAAAATGCCATTATAATCCCAAAAATCCCATGAAGTCCATAGTGGAATTTCAATTTCATGGGATTATAATAATGGCATTTTAAGTGGGATTGGATGGCTGATGAGATAATCTTATGGCATTTAAATGGGCAACTATGGATATTGCATGCATATTTCATGATGAAAACAAGAGGCTTATGAACTTGTTGTCTTGGGATTGTTTTATGGCTAAGCCTTTTTCGAAGCATTCAGCATCACACCCCCCTGGTCACTAAACCTTAAGTGCCAAACATCGAGTCAACCATCAGAGGCCCATGTGCTCCAAACGGGGGATATATCAACGCTGCAGCTTTTGACCCAGAAAATTAGATCACCACAGGGCAGTGGTGATCTTCTTTATCTTGAATGGTGACTGGCGGGCACCACTTTCTCGGTCAACGATACTTGGCACGTGGTGCGAAGCCATTTGCCAAAGTTAATGACTGTCTTAAACCAACATACCTTAATCTTAAATGCCACACACAAGATCAATATCAGATATACATAGATATACCCTCTGGTTATTTCACATAGCCATGGGAAATGGCCCATTTTTGGATGGTTTACCTATTAAAAATGGTGATTTTCCATGGCTATGTTAGTCATAACCATGGCTATGACTAAGGAAAAGTACCCTGACACACGGGTCCCACAGCCTTCCCACGCTCGCCTCAAGACCCAGCCATTCGCATCGGTGCCACCAGCACGGTGCCAGGTCAAGAAAGCTGGGTCCTGGGCAAATGTCATTGGATTGGTTTAAGGGAAAATCTACAGGAGACCATGGTTTTTACCATCAAATATAGGGCTTTCCTGTAAATTTTCCCATCATCCAATTCTATGAAAATGAAATATGGATGGAACTTAAGGACAACTTTTCTTAGTATTTGTGAATTACAAGCCTTTTTCTGCATCCATTTACAATGGGAAAAAGAGTTAATTCTGTGCTGAACACGGTAGAAAATTTATGAATATGAATTTATATAATATATATATATACACTGGCATTGTATATACATATATATACATATATATATATACATATATATATATATACATATATATATATACATATATATATATACATATATATATATATACGATTGGTTCTATATGTGGATTTCTAGATGAACAATATTTGAGAGCAACTGAGACGAAGAAATGGGTGGCCTGGTTTGGAATACTGTTTACACCTTTTTTTGCCCGTCGAGCCTTGCTGGTTACCACTCAATTCATCAACGAGTGGGAAAAAGAGATCATTCGTCTTGCCATGCCGAATTCTTGAAGGGAATTGAAAAGGCATGTGTGGAAAAAAAACGCACTCAAGCAATCAAACTGGTTGTAAGCGCATGTGCCAGAAGTCCAATGTTTTATTCATTCTTTTGTTCTACATGTTACACCTGCACAACACACTGCAGTTAGAGAGGAAACCTCTCTCAATTGAAGCTCACGCGGAAAACGGGTTTGGTCAAACACAAAGCAAATTTCAAAGGACATGACCTAAGGATAACTGGCACGTGCTGATCATACTTGATGGCATCTTGCCATGTTTATGTCAAAAGTTCTACAATGTTCTACACATATCATGATTCCAAGCACCATCAAACGGACATGGAACCAGAAACTTACCATACCATTGTGGTCATGGCGTACCGGTTGCCACATGTTACCACCATGTCATTGCGTGGCCCTGGTCGGTCCTTGTGCACGTCATAGTTCTGCGAGGGGCTGGCGCCAAACTCTCTTAGGATTGAGGCTGCAGACATGCCTGGATCACTGTGTGATGGATGAACGCATTTTGCTTGGCTTGTGATATATTAAATGATGGTGATTGAGTATGACATATTTCAATGTTGCTTGTTGGTTGATATTATTGGAGGGAATCTAAACATACCCCTGGTTCGGATTGGTTTCACCATCGTTTGCTACACATACCTACATCTTATCATCTTCCCGACAGCTCATGTTTCTGCCTTTTTTGGCAAACGTGCCTTTTTGGTCCAAGAGGCGACTTTGCCTGACCACAAACGTTTTTGCAATTCTTCCGAAAACTTTAAACACGCATTTCTCAATAGGTGACTTTACTTTGCCAAAAGGTAGTCATTTCACAGAACTATGGAAATCATTTTTTTGAATAGGTACATCACTGTTAAGTGGGTCATTTAGCTATGTTAAAAATCAAGATGGTATAATTCTTCTACTTCTATTCCCCCCGCTACCTATCATTGATAGCTGGTTAAGCCTCCACTGCTGAACCGCTGTGGCCACCTCCAAACTTCTCAGCCATCTCTTCCTCCAAAGGGGGAGGCTTCTCGCACCATGTCACGCCCACAGGGCCAAGGGCCTGCCAAGGACCCCAGAGACCTAACATGGACCCTACAAAAAATAGGGATGTGATTGGTTTGGAAGGTGACTTTTTTGATGCCATGTATGTTTATATGTTTATGGGACATTGAATTGTTTATCGAATTTTTGAGGCCGCATGGTAGGCTCCGGGATGCTTCTGAGTTGGCTTTAGCCAAAAAGCGAGGGACTGCACACTCCTAAAGTATCACAAGACTACTCAAACAAAACTATATTTTCCAGTTGCCCCCCAGAAAAAACCTCTGATTACGATGAGCTTCCGGTGGTGTTTGGCAAACATTGCAAAACCTATCCATAGTCATCCCACCTGAAAATTCCACGTCAAACACCTGCGCATGGACCATGCAATGCAATGAATTTTCTTGGCGGCGTGAGATGCGCATGGACCATGCTATGAGTCTTCGGTCCCCAGGTCTTGCGCATAAGCCAAGGCCTTGCAGTGCTCCAACTGGACCATTGCCTTCAACCTTGGAGCTGAACCGTTCTTGCACAACTGGCTGGTGCTCGCAGCCCCCGAAAAAAAAGAAACAAACATGGGGATAATCCTCCCAGCTAGGCCGGAACATCAAAAAAAAATCAACCCAGCGACCAAACAAAGTTTCACTCCCACTTCAAATGATGTTGAATTCAAACACAGCTCCCCGATTTCAGCAGTTCAGGTGGATATAACTAATACAAAAACCGCCACCCGCAACCATTTCCGCATGCTGCTCTGCGACGTTGATTCGGCTCGATGGTTTCTGACACGGAATTTACTCGCCAAGGCACCTGCACAAATGGGCCTCTGCTTCGGGGCCACCCGCCTCTGCCGCTGAAGAGCAAGGGATACCAAAGATGGACCAAAGCTCCACATTTTCGAGCGCGGATGCATCCTGGAACACAGCGGGAACCCTGGAACCAAGTGGGCCATTTTTTGGGGTTGCCCTCCGGGTTTGGTCAAAGGTGGCTGGCTGGGAAATTCCCGATAAATGGAAGTCCGGGAACATCATCTATAAATGGTGGATTTTCCATTACCACGTTTGATTACCGGAGGGTATGTATTGCAAAATGTGGTGAATGGATGTAAAAGATAGGCCAGATAGGCAAGACAGACCATTACAACCTGTGGAATTAGAATTTGAAATTACCTCCTAATCAATGGCTTCATAGATGGATCCTATTGGATTTCTATTCATAACAACGGTTCAAGTAAGGGCCATATAAAGGCCATATCCAGCAGCGATATCTTCTGCGGCTCCTCCAAAATGGTCTGCCAGGACGGCTTGGTTTCAAGTCCTGGATCTGCAGTAGCATCCATATCGCCAAGTGTTGGGATTTTAACATACCCATATGCTCTATGTATGGTATATTATGGTATATTTACCTACAAAGCTGGATGATAACTATAGGACATTTGTTGGTAACTATTCCGTACATGGAGCATATGGGATTGAACACACTTGAACATAGTTGAACCTTTTTCAGTTTTTCTGGATGATCAAATACAACATTTCTTTGTTTCCTATGCTTGGATGCAGCGCAAATGTGGCACGTTTGCAAGCCCTTTGCTATGGGTCGATCTTCCCCTGGTTAGTTGCTTGGTGGTCCCGTCAAGTCAGCCCCTAAAAAGTCACCCTCGCGCATGGGCACACCTCAGGAAAAAGTCACCTCCATTTAGGCCCCATTTGTAAAAAGTCACCCTTGGCCCTTGACACATGAAATCTGGTTGGGCACACCATTTACGTAGACACTCTAATAGACATGCTTTAAAACAAGTCACTGGGCACACGTAGGGGAAACGCATATTTCCTTTTATTTAATGCCCTGTGTGGGCTAAGAAGCACCACGGGCATACCGTCAAAAGCTACGCATATCTTTTGGGGAATGCGGAATGCTGGTTTACCAGCATATTATTACTCACATTAATACATACAAATGCTGGTGGGTGAAGTATGGTCCTATTGCAAGTCGGAGCCATATCCATTCCTCGCGATTTTTCCATGAATGACCCAAGTAGCTGCTTGTCGGTTTACAATGGTTTACACAATCTGTTCTCATACTCATAATCTTGACCACTTGACTTGGTGACTTGGGGGTATAAAATTCACTTGAAGTACCCACCGGAAGAACTAGGAAGAACAAGCAAATTAATGGATCCAGAGAACCATGAACCAAAGGTTCATTGGAAATTTCAAGTCCAGTAGATCATATATATAAATAGTCTCAAGACGGCACAAATACGTGGAACTCCGCTTTCCAACAATGTTTTGCACTATCTAAGCGTGTCTAGTTTTTGTTGCATACTGCAACTCTGTTTTGAAGAGATCATTTGGTGATAGATATGATTATATGTGTCGAATATGAAAGATATTGAAAGCAAATCACCATGGAACTCTGGGATTTACGTGCATTGCGACAATGCAGAAACCCGTCTCTCCATGTTGGAGAAGTTTGCATCCATCAGGCCCTTCCCCACCAAACTCCGCAGCAAAAGTTCATAATTGCATTTAAGTGAAGTCTGAACAACAAGAAACAAGTATGCGCAAGAGAGAACAGCTGCATCCAAATAAGATCAGTGTATATTAGGTTATAGAAGCCGGGCGCGCATTTCACCACCTGTACACCCCAGGCTTTCCCAGGGCCTTCGTCTTCCTCCGTTGATGGGTCCCCAAAACTGGTCACGTCCCAGGCGGAAAACACTCCGCGGAAGGACTTGGGATACCTGACGATCGGATGAGACGAACATCTCTGGTAAAAGACTTGGACAATGAACACAACTAAAGAATGCTAAAGATATCTAAATGATATATAACTATAAAAAGATTATCAAAGGAAGTTTAGTTAGAAAATTGCCCAACCAACCGCACCGCTGCGAGCAAGTTGCTCCTGGTCTTCCACAAAATGCTTCAAACTCAAATGCTGTCCAGCTTTCCTGTAGCTGCTTGTCTATAAGCTGAGTGAATCCTCTCCATAACATCACTTGCTTAGGGCAAACTGGGCAAACCCTAATCCCTATGTATTTGCCACCAATCAGAAATGACTGCATGCTTCCCTGAACCCCCGCTCCGACGTAAGGAAAGATTGGAACCTGGGTACCATAGCATCATGCACTCAGGAAAATCTGGTTCTTGCTAGTTGGGGGAGGTCCGTAGTATGGGTTGACATCCCAAGTGTCCTCCTAGCTTTTGCACGCTTTTCAAAAAGCACTGCAGTTCTGTCCTTGGTGCCGACTTGAAAACCCTGGATCCAGACCGGCCATCCTCAAACAGGCTAAGGACAAAGACAAATTGTCCCCAAAGGGCACTTATGAAAGGAGCTATGTCAGCTATGTGGTTAAACTTGGCACATCTTTGCATACCTTGCTTGACATTTCACTTGCCCATGACAACAATTGGAAAAGTGGAACAATCTGCCTGAACAATCTGTCAACCTCAAATAAGCTCACGTGTTGGTATTTAACGATGTTGAATTCACGACATTTTGTGTCGTTTGCCACTACTTGTGGCTATTTCATGACAATAAAATTAGTTTTCCTGAAATAAACAGTTTTGGTGAGATTGGCGTTACCCATCATCATTTGCTGTGATGTCGCAGTGAGGTCGTGGAATTCCCGCAGAACAAAGTCCTATCTGACTGAGTTATAATAATTCACCAACAGGAAAATAGCTGACTGACTAATCATCATTCCAGTGACTTCACGATGAGGTCGTTACAATTTATAATTCATCCACGTATATCTACCAAATTATACCTACTACAACTATGTACTGATATTATACCTGGCAGTATAGCTATCATTCCAGCAGAACATTATTCCCCCTAGCCTTCTCCTATACCATCATACCATATCATACCTACTGATGAACCAACTTTGCTTATTGGTCACCATCTTGCACGGTTCGTTTACCTGCCCATTGAAGCACCAGCCAAGGAGACCCACAAAGGCGCTTCAACACTTGGCCAAAGCACCGCGTGCGTCTTGGCATAGCGTTCTTCTGCTAGTAGAACGTCTTCCAAATGACCTGGGACTCTACCGGGAATTTTTGAAGGTCGGGGAACAAGCGGGCATCTTGGCAAGGTGAAAAGGCATTGACACATAACCAAAAGGTTTCGTAAGGTTTCGTCCCAATTGTTATACAACTTATGCTGCACCATCATAAGTCTCCACAATAAAAATGAAGCCTAGAACTCAGTGAGATGTTTCCTGGATTCTCTTCATCCAATCATCTAAACAATTCGAAACACATATTTGTCAGGCTCCAATAAACAAATCACCATCTGCCATCCATGTTGGTCAGCTGCGGTGTCTTCTTTTTCTCAGCTCATGAGCTGCTCAAAGCGCTCGAAAACTTCAATCTGCTCCTTGGAGGGAACTGCTGGGGTGTGTATATCGTCTCGGAGGATCTGAAAAAATCCAAAGAAATCTGCATGCTTCATCTCTTCCTTGGTGGTCCTTTGTTTGGTGCTTCTTGAAACTTGGCATGGAAGGGGTCATTTTCCATTACGACTCCCATCTGCAAAAGCACTCATCATTCAAGTCAAATGAATCAAAACCAATTGAAAAGCAAGCCCTCTTGATGACATCACACAAATGAAACAACCAGCTTTGTATCCACATCCTTTAACTGATTCTTGATGTTTCGATACACCGTGTTGATGATATCCACAATGTTTATGATATTCTCCCACAATTATTGTCTATCACATCAGTTCTCATTACTTTTCGCTTATTTCAGCACGTTGGTCGATGTTGGCAGATCTTGGCAGATGTTACCCTCTGGTTGTTTCACATAGCTATGGAAAATCACCAATCTACTGATGATTTATAATGATTTGTGTATCAAAAAATGGTGAGTTTCCATAGCAAACCGTTGATCACCAGAGGGTAACCCATGTAACCGTGCATCTGGTCATGTGATCAGATCCACCACAAGGTGCCCCGAACTTCTAAGTTGGTTTTAAAAAAACGTTCACTATGGTATACGCTGTGCAGCTATATCTATAGCTCTAGTTCTACTATAGTTATAGTTATACTTCCATAAACCCTATGGTCAACCTATAATTTAATTATAGTATACCATAGTTAACCATAGTTAAGCATGTTGAACCTACCTGGTTGACCTCAAGCTACCTGGTCACCGTTCTCCACCCAGGCCACCGTTTCAGCGTCGTCTCTTTCAGCCATCAGCTTTTCCAGTTCTTCAGGTTGATCCTATGGGGCTCGGCGCCCGGGGGGCGCCTAGCCCTGAGTAGTGTCATGAGATTTGTAAAGATTTGCATGGACATTTGCCGACATGGTGTCAATATGTTTAAAAAAAAATCTATGGGTTCATGTCGACCTATATAGTTAATCAATGTTACTTATGTGAATGGGGGTTGTAAACCAATGGTATCGTTCAAAGGCTCAAAACCAACAGAGATTTCCGGCCTGAACCGTTGCAGCTTTTGGAGCTTGAGGGCCGAGACATGCCGATGTTCTGAAACCGATCCGTCTCTGGTGTGCATGGGTATAACCCAAATATGAACATGCCGGGAACTCAAAGCTATCAGGTTGCAGGTGATCAAACTGATCCTCACATGAGCAAGCCTGGTTAAATATACATATGTATACATATGTATACATATGTTAAAATAACTTTTAAACTTTACAATCCATTTGAAATCAAATTCAATCTACCATTCTTAGATTTCTAGATGGTCCAAAGATGTCCAATTGGGCAAAACATGGGGCTAGGTACTCCGTGGGAAAAAGGATAGAAACCAGAGACAGGATCTGCAGCCAACATGGCTTGCTGGAGGATACACCCATTTATACGTGATTTTCCCCCTTCCAAAAAGATTTTCCATCAGAGAGTGAATGAACATATCGAATCATCGGTGATCTTTTACCAGGTCTACATGGTGTCCTGTGGGTAATGTCAACCCAAGCTTGCCAACATGGCAATCGTAATATATCGTAATATGCAAATGATGATCAACAGGCTCTTGGGGCGCCCCATGGTGAAACAAACCTTCATCAATCCATCTTTCAATGGATCCCCGAAAGAACTTCACTTGACAGTCAAACAGGGAGATAGAATGAGATCAACTGGAAAGAACATCTCACTTCCAGTCACTTCCAGTTGCCAGGGGTCCCACAACTCCGCCATCTTTGCATCGATCGAAGCCAGTTTCTCCTCAGGGGGCGACCCTGCTGGGACCATCATTTTGAGCAGGGGCGGCCTCTCGCTATGTTTTGCGAGACGCGACATGCCTATAGAAATGTTGTACCCTCCGGTAATCAATTGCAGCAATCGGAAATCCTCGAACAATAAAATGGAGGTTTTAATGCGAAAATCGAAAATCATCTATAAATTGGCAATTTTCCATTGCCATGTTTGAGGGGGTTGTGCCTGGAAAAGGAACTTCTCCAGCTGTTCTTCCCAACCATTATGGCTAGAAATTAAATGCAATTCCTACGTTTTGGACCCCAAATCATATTTCTGACCAATACATCTCTTTCTCCCCAGTTTATCACATGATATTCCCCAAACAATGTGTAATCAGTTTTAAGCCACCAGCCTCATTTTTTCTTGATTTAAATCCTATTTAATCTGAGTAAATCATCACTTCCCAGATTATAATCTTATTAAATCAGCATGTTCCAGTTATCACAGCCAAAACCAGCTTCCTCCAATTCCGAGATCCGCTTGTCTAGCCGCACCATTTCACGCTCAAGCTTTTTGTCCTGCATGTGCCGTCTCTAAGATTTACCAAACGAAGAGGTGTTGACACATACCCCGCGACACACGGAAAGTCATGATATTCATGATGTTGTATTCATAGTTGAATTTGAAAATTGTAACGTATCTCACTTTATCAGTCTTTTCCTGCATGCCTGGATCTCGATTCTACAAACCTGGTTCTTTCCCACCAGGGCAGGTCTCGAAGTCATGACGGTCCTGTCGTTTCTGCGAGACTTTGCTCACGACGACCTTCTCCTTAACCTCCGCGAGCTTCGATGGTTGCGACTTCCTGTCGGAGCTGATGGGGAAGTGATTTTTTTTCCGGGAGATATTGGAAGGCAGTTTTGACTTATCAACTATAAATGAGGTTTTCCATGGTTTTCCTGTAACATTTTTTTTGGCTGTAAACCTATCTCATGATAAAATGGACCCACACACACAAACACATCACTGAAACATCAAAGTAATTGAAGCCATATATATATAGATGGAAATCTACCCCAGCTTCCAAGAATTTAAAGACCTGCAAGACTTGTTACAAGTGTTTCAAAACAAATCCAACAAGCAAGCGCTTAAGCGCGCAAGCCACAGATCTGGCAGGTGGACTTCAGAGCCAAGTCACCTCTGTTGCTCCATCAAATCATTGAAGGACCCAGTCCATTCTTTGGGTTGAGAGCCATCCTCCTTACACTGCGATCATATTCAGGCCTAGACCTTACGGAGGAAAACTGCTAAAACTGGAGAAACAAAAACAAGTCAATACAAATCAGTTGGTTTTTAGGTATCTTTGCACATCTTCATCGTTTTTTTTCCTAATCTCTTCATATCTCTTCTCCCTATTACTAAAACTCCCCCAATTGATAAAAATAGGAGTGGATTGCCACTTTCGGATTTTTTTGGTTGCTCACAATTGTGTTCTTAATTGTGGTAATTGAAAATCAATAGGAGAACAGGATGGTGAAATAATGGTTTGTCACCCTATTCATGAAAATAGAACGAGACCCGTAAGTTTGTTATCAGGGTCCCATCAACTTTGAAATCATGTTTTTTGTTTTTTTTTTTAAATAAAGGTTTTAATTTGATTATTAGGGGAAAGCTTCGAAATCTAATTTTTTTGGCAATAGTTTAAGGGACTTTTAATACATTTAAAAGGGATTTAATTGATTTTGAAATGATTTTTCACTTTTTTATTAATGTTTTTGTTTTATTATTAGGGGAAAGCTTCGAAATCCATTTTTTGGCAATAGTTTGAACGGATTTTAAAAAGGGATTCGATTGATTTTGAAATCGTAATTTATTTTTGTTATTAAGGTTTTTGTTTTTTTCTTAGGGGCACCCCAATACTAAATACCTCCTAATAATAAAAATAGATCACCGTGTTTAGCATTTTTTTTGGGAGTGTTTTAGTATTAGGGAGCAGAGATGACCACTTTCCGTCCATTCAAGTGCGCAATGCGTCTGCCGCGTCCTGCATCACCAGGAAAGAACTACAAACACCGTCCAGCCTCGCAACGATCGGATAGAGCTTCCTCCAGTTAGAACTGGGCCCCGATGGCGACAATACAGTACAGGTAGTAAGTTAGATTATGATCCCAAGTAAAATGGAACTAAGAATGGTACTCCATTGGTACTCCCATTCAGTAAAACAAAAATATACTATACTATATATATTGAAGAACCGCGGGCCGTGGATAAACCGACTGATTGGGCATTGTCCGTTCATGAGTTTGCTAAGCGGTACTGGCCAGTCACTCTGCGGGTGACCGAGACTTGGGATGAAAGTGTTGGCTCAGGGATTTTGATGGATTTTGGGGATCTGCTGCATTTGGATTCAGATTTGATGAGGATTTATTTTATGTTGTGCCTGAGCTTATGGGTAATTATCTGGGACCAAGACCTGTTGATTCTACAAACAGAAACAAAAAAAACACCACGAGGACAAGCTACGTGGCTTCTCTGGCATATCGCAGCTGGGGGTCTAAGAACAACACGACAAGCATTAGGCACTAACTAGTGAACTAGCGAACTAGGATATACATTGTATATATGCATCCACCCAACTGAAATAGATCCAGAGAATAGCCCCATTCTTTAGGTTAGAAAATCATATTCCATCATTCCATCCCCTTTTTTTGTAGGTATTTGATACAGTAAGGGAGGGTGGTACACAGTGACAAGAATAGGATACCATCTGGCTATTTAACATAGCTATGGAAAATCCATGAAAATCCATTAAAAATGGAGGTTTCTAGCTGGTAAAATCATCTGTAAATGGGCCATTTTCCATAGCTATGTTAGATAACCAGAGGGTAAACCCATATCATCCCATGATTCACCATTGTTAACCCAATGTTAAACCATTACATAAATCACAATTAAATCCAAAGGGTAGTCTCTTCACTGTTTTGAATGCCCCTCTCCGGAAGAAACCCCGTTTTTTTTTCTGTGCGTTGGATCATCGGGTCGCAGGGAGCGATCGTGGCTGACCAGGATCAGCGTGCCAGGGTATCGTTGCAGCATGCCTCACGGTGCAAAAAAACCGACAGCAACATCAACGACAACAACAGCAGCAGCAAAAACAAATGCACATGCAATATTTGGGAATGTGAGCATCACTATCAACTATATATATATACATATTACAAAATGCACTATAATGATGTATATCAATATGGGAATGTGAGCATCACTATCACTGCATGATCGAAATAGATCGAAATAGAAGGAAAGAAGTCCCGAATGAAACAGCGAGCAATGGCCATGGTCCGCTACGCCACAAAAAAACTTGTGTATGGTATAGAAGGTTTCCCAATTTCTGCATGGCTCAAACATGAACACAAATGCACACACACACACCCACACACACACATATATATATATATATACACATAATATACAAATGTACAGTATTATATCAACCAAGCCAAGATTATCAAATAGATGCAGCATTTTTAAACTCGCAGCGAATGATTCCAAGTGCTTTGTGCCAAGATTCTCTCCAACGAATCCACAGTAACCTCGGGGCATTTTTTTTCGATTCGTGGTGGATGATCCATCCATTCCCAGCCTCATGGGCTCAGGGGCCCAGCCTCCCATCGGGCACAACTCTCGTTGGGTCAAAACCGGCGTTAAGTGGGCCGGTTTTTGAAGCCCAATGATGCGATTTTATGTTTCACATTGTTTAACCATCTGAAATCCATTGATGTTTACCTATCTTATTCTATGTTTGGGGACAAGCCGGTAACCCAATCAGAAAAACCACCTGTTCCCCCAACCATGGCTCCAAGCATTCCAAGCAGCTGCATCCAAATCGTTGGTTGGCTCATCGAGGATCAGGACGTTGGGCCTTTCAACCAAGACTCGTAGCAGTTGAAGGCGCCGGTTCCTCAACGACTTGGCAATTTGTTCGGAATGATGGGGAAATATGGGGAAAAAATGTCCGTCACTATGATTTTGGATAACTTTTGGGTATGAAAATGGGAATTTATACCTCACCATGGTGATTTCAACAGGTATACATTATATATATATGCAGATGTTTCACAAGTGGATTTAGGGGCACCTTATTTTCAAACGAACCATTTCTATCCATTTCTGGTGGTGTTGCGCATTATGTTTTTTTTGCCTGAACTTCCTGAACAACTGGTGATTTCAAAATCCAAGAGTGGAAGGGAATTAGGGGACTTCACGCAGCAAACATGGCTAGGATGAGGATTAAATCTATGATTGCATGGGTATGATGTAATTGTGAACCGGACAGTCGAATGCAGCAAGATTCGGACTCTGGAAATGAGAATCTAATCAGCAAAACCATCATGAATCTTAACTCAAATCATAAAACCAACAAGTCAACTCTTCTTTTTGTTTTCTGTCTAAACCTTTTGGTGCCACCTCCTAGTTTTGGTATCTGGTGAAATATCTGATGATATCTGATGTCCACTCTGAGTGCGACCAGAAATCCACAGCATGACTCAACTCTCTTCAGGACAATAAGTGTACGTACAGCAACTGACCAAAACCGCACTTCTCAGCTGGTCAGGAACCAATTGTTCATTCTCTGTGAATCATGTGCCTACCGGTGGGCATTTCAAGATCCGCAAACCCGCAAATGGACCAAACATTCTGAATGCGAAAGAGAAACATGATTGTTTCGGGTGCTGCACACCCTAAAACATCAGAAATCCAACACTGGCAATCCCCAACAGTAAAACCATCTTGGGGAAATTTGGGGAACCAATTCTTGAACATTCGTCCTGTAGTTTCAAAAAAAATCTATAGTTTAGAACATGTCCTGTACTTTAGGGATTAGTTTAGGAATTAGTTTTTTGGATTTCTAAACATATTAAACGGATCTTTAGTATTAGGGATTAGTTTTTTGGAATTTCTAAACATATTAAAACATATTAAACATGATGTCATGTTCAGTCACCTGTTAGTCACCTGCTTCAATTTGGGGAATCCAAGGGTCTCCCCGCCAGAGAGCAGCGAAACCGGCGTGGACCAACGACCCTGCGCGAAGTTCACCGCCTTTAACCTGGGCATGGCCAACTCCGCAGGGATTTCTCCAATCCGGGATCCCCAGGGATCACCAACAAAGGGATAAAAAAGGGATGACTAACTCAATGTGACTCTGACAACCAGTTTTTTTGGGATAGTTTTGGGTTTATTTTTCTCTCACTCTCTCTCTCCCTCTCCCTGACCATGTCTTTTTGGTTCACCACTTTTAAGAAGTCTGTATTTGAGACATAGCCACTGAGGAACCACCAAGCTCTTGGATAGTGTTTCGGCCCCTTGAAATCAAGGGGCTTGAAATGTTTGGTCAGCGGGGGAGGGACACCGCTTGGTTTCTGCCCTTGGTGTCGCCTGGTGATCAGAATGATCAGCGCATAAAAAACGAAGACGAATGCAGAAGTACAAAGAAATGTAAATCCACAGCATGGTAAATCAAATAATCAAATTGTGATTTAGATGTTCGACCTGGTGAATTTAAATGGTGTTTCTTTGTTCCCAAGCTTTACTGAGATTTGTATCACTCGAACATTGGGATGCCCGTACCAGTAGGAAAACAGCATCCGCGGGTACCTTGGGACCATCCCTAAAGGCCTATCTTCCCGGCATCCTCCCAGCACTTCACCAGGAAACATGGCAGCTCTCCTCCGTTCCAAACTCATGGCTTCAGCCCCCTGCACAAGCACGCCATCCTCCGCCTGGGTCATGGCCACGGTAGCCATGTCCGTCACCACTTCAATGACGCGCTTCTTGGGATCGGGCCATGCCTTGAGGACCCCATGGCACGGTTTCAAAAAAGCACATGCGACCCGGAACTTTGGGAACTCTTGGTATCTGGCGGGTTTTGCTCCGTCAACTGCTGCACTTGATGAAGTCTTTATGATTTGTTTGCCCAGTTTTCATGTTTTGTTTAGCCGTGTCTTTTCCGAAAATCTTGAGGACCAAAAGAGTCTCCTGGGGACAACTGGGTGTCTTCCGCCATTCAAAAGGTTTATGTATAGGTCGTTTTGAAACATGTTATTGGTCTTGTTCCGTACAGTTCCGACACCATCCTTCTATCGTAATTACATTTATGTGATTATCTACATTGATACACCTCACATTTACCCAAAATTGAAATACATCCTGAAAGGTTGGTGGCGGGGTTGATGGTGGTATCTTGATGCTCCATCCTTTTAGGGGCCGGAGTGACAGACCTGGTTTGTTGCAAGCCCAGCCACAGGGGGACTCTGCGAAAGAAAGCCGATCAAAACACCTTGACCTCTCACGCGTGGTGACGAGCACAAGAGACGCGACGCAACATATGGCTTTGTATAAAAGGGTGAGGATGCAAAGTTGATGCCTTTTTTCAGGGGTAGATCAAATGTATTATATATATAGATCTACTTAGATAACTGTCAAGAAAGTGCAGGTTGCCACACACATGGGGGTCTTGAGGGAACTTCACTCTTGACATATGGTCCATGATTGGCAACTCACATCAAAGCGACAGCACCTATGAAGACTTCCCCACTCTCTGGCTGCAAGTCACCCACCTCGCGTGGTAGATTCTCTTGGGGTTTGAAGATAGGCTCACAGCTTTCCGATTTCAAGATGTTTGTCGCTATGTATTGCGCTAGGACATGGTAGGACAGTAGGGATGATGCAGTTTCTTTGAGTGTACTGAGTATTGGTATGAGTCATCTTCCATGGCAAAACCAAACTGATGGGGTATGTATCATCACATGGACCAATGAAATTACATAATTTGGATAAATAAATAGCTCCGCCATATTATGGGTGTAGCTACCAAATTCAATAGCTCTGCCATTTGGGGGTAGCTACCTGTACAATTCCCATCATTTCTGGTGACGTCGTGGTGACGTCGTTACAGGCATCCACCGGGTTTGCTATGGAAAACCACCGTGGGAAATCATCGAACTAAATGGGCCAGAACTATCACAGCTATGTTGAGATTTTCACGCCTCAAACTTGGTAATCAACCGACTTTCCAAAGGTTGTACCCACCCCCCCACCTGAACAGCTTTCCAAAGCACCCGCCTCATATAATCTGGTTGCAATGCGCTGAAAACAACAGCCAAATATAACTAAGTTGTTCTTGGATAATTTCTTATCTTGATTAGGTCATGTTGATTGCTGGCGTCCTTGCTCACACCATTCTATACATTCTGCCCCGGTGGCCCGAGGCCATTTACCCTCCGGCAATCACTCGTGGCAATTGGAAATACCCTGTAGATGGAGTTTTGTTTTAGTGCAAAAAATCATCTATAAATGGTTGATCTTCGGTTGCAAACTATTTGATTGCAGTACTTGAGGGTAAGAACTATGTCCCCTTGAAAATACACACATAGATTCCACCCTCCATGGTGTTCGTGGGGTACCACATCCTGACACCACCCAGCAACCCAGCTACGATGGTCTTGAGCAGTGTGCTCTTGCCCGCCCCATTGGGTCCAACGATGCCCAACTTCTCCTTGGTGCTCGCCATCAAGGGGGGGCGTCCCGGATAGAAAAATGGAAGATCTCATGGGGAACAAAAAACGGGATTCAAATGGAATCTAATAGCCATTTTCGTGGGATAATAGGATTACTGGCTTTAGTGATGTGGAATCAACTGCAAACCATTTTTTTTTGGTAACAAACACTTCTATGATACAAGTTCTTCAATGGAGTTGTTTACTCTCCAAAGCAATACACTATATAATTATAAACATATATATATATAATTAAAAACATATATATATATATACATACATACATATAATATGTATATAATATAAACTAACGCAATTGCTTCCAAATCCGGATCTCAGGATGATCCAAGTCCGAATTGCCAGCCAGGATCCATCAACATCCCCAGCCGCAGCATCCCGTCAGGCCATCGTACCACCGTCCCGTCTTCTTGCAGCCTGGGTTTCCCCTTTCTCAAAGGTCACCGAAATGTTGTTCAGCACGTTTCGGCCATTCACATTCACCACCTCGGGATAACATGGGATAACTGGGAACTGGGAAAATGAGGATTCAATGCACTCCAAAAAAGGGTGAAATTTTCATAGATGTGCAAAATCCGTGGTTCCCCCCAGGAGAATGATGTGCGAATGGTGGATTTTCCACATCTGTCTTATGCTGGCTTACTGGAGGGCACTTGGATATAGAGACAATATTATAAACAATGGGGATACAATTGGCGTTCATAGATGGGATAATAACTGCATCTTCAGTAATGTCAACTCTGGATCAATGTTCACTCCTGCCACCTGGCTGTTGATCGTTAGGAAGGGGTACCATTCTAGTAGCAAATAAAATATCATAAAATACCTATTTCGGGGGTATCACCAATTAATCAACCAGGCTTTGTCATAACTTAATGCACGGCTCACATTTCTGGTTGATTCAACCCAGTCCAATCATCATGCCAAAATATGCCAAGTACGTATGGAACAATGTATCCCATTTCAGAGAATCCACCCGGAAACGCTCCTCCTCCCAGGAATGTTGTGGATCATCTTCTCTTCTGGTTATCAGTACATCTATGTACATCTCCGACGAGATTTCAAACACCAATCATCTACCCTCTGGTAATTGAACATAGCTATTGAAAATCGCCAAATTTATAGTTAACCTATGAAACATTGTGATTTTCCCAATCGCCATGTTAGTTTACTGGAGGCTTTTCTCTCGCTGAAAAATCGGCCAAGAGTCGATGTCTTTGAGAGCAATCCTTCCCACCAATCCAGAGGACGATGCAGCAAGACCTTGGTAAACCCCAACTGGCTGTGGTGGAATCTCATGGAATCCCGTGGTGTTTTGCGGATCATTTCTCTTGAACTCGGAATAGCGTTGGGATCGGTTGGGCAACCCTCTGGTTATGTCAAAATAGCTATTGAAAATGGTCATTTATAGTGAGTTTTCCCATTGAAAATGGTGATTTTCCATAGTTATGTTAGTTTACCAGAGGGTATATTTCGTGAATATCGTTCATTTTTTGTTGGTTCAACCGTTTCCATTGCCCTCAAAAAAAAATGTGGCAAAAAAACTCACAAACCCATCCCCAAAATCAAATAAATGGCTTGTATAAACCATCCCCAAATTGTAGGTTGATAATTGGCTTTACCACATTTCTTCAATGTCTTTACTCCCCAGTTTTTCGCATGGTTCTGACAGTACCATCATGATCCATGTGGATCTAATGGGCCTTTGCCTTTCAGCAGCTTGTCCTGCAGATCAGGTGAGCCCTCATTGGCTTTGATGACCTCCCTCGCACGTTGTCTGAGCCTCACGAGCGAATCATGATGTCCATGCGAATCAGGATGGGAAAACTGGAAAACACACATCAAACTTGGTTTCACTGGGTGAAGTCACGTTTTTTTGCCCTGTTGGAAACCATCATCAATGCTACTATCGAAGTATTGGGGGTGTCCTATGCAACTTTCATTTAACCAACTTCTGGGATGTCTAAAACGCATGCCTTCTTTGGAGCAGCTGTTTGCAGTAATTTGAACTGTGGACGCCATGAATGGCGGTGGGGGGTTAGCACAAATACAAGCGTTTGGCAACTTTTTTGGCTCTGGCGGCTTCCCTGCAATTTGGATGGTCCTCTTGATCGTGTCAGTTGGGGTTGCATCCCAAACAAGTTTTTGATAATTCTAGTACGTTCCAATCACACCAGAGGGGACCATGTACAAATATGTGTGTATGTACCTATGTCTGTGCAAAAGTGCAAACGGAACTGCTGGCAAGCTGGCACAGAAATCACGTCTGTGGCATTGTAGTCATTGTAGTCAAGTAGGGGGTCATATTGCAAAGTACTGATGGATCATGTGAAACAAATGTTGGACACAGTGAAACCGACAACATCAACATCCAACGAATTTTGCAGACTCAGGTGCCACCATGAACACTGAAGACTCCCTAAATATCCCTAAATGGCCATGGTAATATCTGCTGACCGGCTTCGATCCAGTCGATCATCCCGGTAGGATTCCGAAAATCCAACAAGAAAGGACTGAACCAAACGTAGCCCTCAGCAAACTAATCTGGTTGGTGGTTTTAACAATCTTGAAAAATATTAGTCAATGGGAAGGATTATCCCATATATTGTGGAAAATAAAAAATGTTCCAAACCACCAACCAGTAATATAAACTACAGTAATAATGTCCATGGAAAACCACGGACAAGCCATCTTTGATGATTTTTCTTAGCCGAGGAACTCACCCACAGCATCCATCTGTGCCTGATCCATAACGCTTGACATTTCGTTGCACTCCTGATATTCTAGACCTCCCATACCTAAAAGAGCAATTTTATAATATGTTTTACTGAGATACCTGGGTATTAAACAATGGAAAATCACCGTTTTTATAGGTACATGCGGCAAATCATCATAAAACATCTATAGATGGGCCATTTTCAATAGCTATATTAAATAACCAGATGGTAATTTCCACGTAAAGCTGAACAAGGGGCAAAAACTGACCCTTTTTGCTGGTAATTAATCAACATGAATATTCACCATTGAACCTTTGGGAATTTGCAGTCATGTCATGTGGGTAAAACAATAATCAACCATCCCCCAGTCATCACCATTTTTATAGGTGGTATGGTTACCATTCCCAGTCACCGGTGGTTTATGACATTGTTTTACCCACATTATTTCACCATCAAAAATGGTGATTTACCCTCTGGTAAACTAACATAAAATAACTATGGAAAATCACGTTTTTTTTATAGCTATATTATATATTATATATAGGTAAATCAACTGTTTATATGGTTCCCAACACCCATGTGTGGCTCTCGCCTTGTTTTTGGTGCCACGGCCCGATGGGCCGCGCCGCGCCCATTCTTCGGCCCGGCGCAGTTGCACCTGGGACCGAGGTGGCAACAGATTCCCAAGAAACAAAGCAGTTTGGATGGATCCCCTTAGTTATACCTTAGTATTTGCTAGATTTACTATGTAATAGTTGTTATTAGTGACCAGTGGTTCTTAGTATCCTCCTAATATTAAACACCTAAACACCCCCTTAATCGTCCCAATTATCCTGGATATCCCCTACTAAACTATGGTCTAGTTATTTGTAGTCGTTAGATGTCGTTAGTAATTACTAGTTGAGATGGCCTGAGATGACTTCTGTCCCTTGCCGGAGGTGCAAACGTCCCCTCTTTCTCTTGGAAAAAACCGTGAAAGCAATTGATGACCTTCTGGTGATTTGACAGAGCTGCGGAAAATGGCCCATTTAGTCATTTAGATTCATTTAGTCTGATTTACCTATAAACAATGGCAATTTTCCATAGCTACTATATAGTATGTAACAAATGATCAAGTTGGGTACATCCGCCCCAAAGCCATCCCAACGGCCAGGCGACCTTGGCATCTTGCACCTCTCCGGCTCGAAGTTCATAGCCTGATTTTCTTTTTCCAGCGAGAAAAGAACCAGAAGTGAAATCAATATCTGGCCATACTGATTTCATAATGATTAAAACCGCGATGATGCTAAGAATCATAGTCATTTTATATCCCAAAATGATGATAACGATAATGATAATATATGATAATCAGAAGAAACATAGGTAATTGGAATATTTCAAACACGTTAACTCATTATGACATCAATTATTCTTTGACAATGGCTGTTGTCGGAACAAACATGAACAAACCGATGGATCACAGTCAGTTGACTAGTCACCACGACAAATTTCTGCTGACAATTCTATATCCTCTGGTAGCCAAACGTGGCAATGGAAAGATGCCTAGAATTAGAAGTTTAAATGAATATGATGAAATATGGGAGGATCATCTATAAATTGGGGATATGCAATCACCATGTTTGATTACCAAACGGCCAAAGGTTGTGTGACGTGGATGACGTGGATTGCGTGGATTGGTTCGTGGCGGCTACACAGCAAATGGCCACCGATCAGGATATAGAGCCCTGCATCCAACCTTATAACTATCCAAGCTTAAGAAAAACGCACACAGCAACCAGTTGATCAAAACCAAGCTCAACAAAAAGATACAGAAATCCCTTCAATGCCCTTGCCCTCTGTGGAATAACGACAATCGGAGATGCCAAGCTTCGTTCCGCACGGCGTTTGAGAAAGGTCTCCCAGCTGCCGGGGTGCATGAAGGTTTCACCATTCCAATCGATTTCAAAGATCTGGTCGCAAACGCTATCCAGGAAGTAGCCTCTGATGATGCGTGGCAGAATTATGATGCAAAAACCTACGTGAACCAACAGCAAAATGGTGAGGCTATGGTGAACATATGGAACTAACCATGTGATTCATCGGGGGCTATGAGGTATCCCCACCACTTTCCACTTATAAAAAGAATCAGGGATGGAACTGATGGAATCGGATTTCGCAACAAGGATGCGACGGAGATTTGCCTGACATAATGAATGACTAAGACCCGACCAACAAATGGGGATGTGATTCCCACAAAATGTAGAAACTGGATGTTCTGAAGCTGAACAGGAGGAACATCAGAAGCAAAAGTGTGACGTGTCCAATGTCAAGCAAGGCAGGCAACGGATCGAACAAATCTGCATTCTGCTGCCTTGATATCTGTCTTGAAGACATTCTGGATGGGCTTGAAACTAGAGGATGCAGGTTATCAGGTTGCTGAACCACGTTTTGGAATGCACTTCTCCAAGCTCCAAAAAATGATGCTTTAAATCTCTGATTTTGTTAACGGATGCACATATTATAACACATATAACTTTCATATAACCTACAGTATGAGAGTCTATTTATTGTCTTTATAGCAACCTGCCCAAATAGATACAACAAGTTGGAAACCTGAAAAATATGGAGGAACCATTATCTATAGTGTCACATCCGAGAACGCCTTTTTCTATCATTTTCTATCTTTTTTGGGTGCCCTTCTTGAGCTCTCCCCAACCCCTGAAGTTTTGCCAAGGGCACGGTCATGGGAAACCAGCACAAGACTGACATCTCGCGCACTTCGCAGTGTATCTTCCAGGAATCTGCAGCCTTCGGCTGATAGGTGGTTGGTCGGCCTTAGCAGGATCAGGTCGGCATTTCAATCGGAGAATCACAGCAATTGAACGAAAGAATCATCTGATAGTAGCAACATGGACATGGAATTTCAATGGTTTCAATGGCTTAAGGGAAATGCTACAGTTGAAACCATGATTTTTACTTTTTACCATCAGTATGGGGTGTTCTGTAACTTTTCCCCTGCAATTCATTGAGGATTCCACAGAGTTACCCTTTTCGATCCAGGAAAACAATCCAGAAACCTATTGACTTAGGGGACAAACCAGGCTTATCGACTAGTGTTTTCGGAGCTATCTGGGCTCAGCAAAGTTCCCAACAGGGGATTTTCACCAACCCTAGCTCCTAGCTGTCTAAGATCCACTTAGATAGGCGGGATTTGATCAACTTTTTAGTGGCCAACCCATGCTATCCCCAATTATCCATTGGTTTTTGAGTTAACTAACCATGTCCCATGATGTCCCATGATGTCCCATGATGTCCCATGATCTCCCATGATGTCCCATGGCAATTTATGGCCCCAGTTCCAGCGGCTCGTCCAAGATCAGCAGATCCGTCTGCGGCAGATCCACCAGCGCGGCCGCCAGCGCCACGCGGCGCTCCTCGCCGCCGCTGAGGGAACCCATGGAGCGCTGGAGCAACTTCGAGATGCCCAACTCCTGGGAGGAACCAGGAAGTGGGCTGTGGTTATGACATGGTTATAACATGCTTATGACCCATCAGTTTCCCTTAAACCATTTTAGAATATATCCCATTAGTTGGTATTCTGTGAGATTTAAATCACGTCAAATCTGACTAATTGATATTAATTGATCAGCTCGCTCACTAACGAACTGACTAACAAACTAAGAAACTGAGCAACTCAATAACTAAGTAACTAAGTAGTTAATTAAATACCTAGCTAACCAACCAATTAACCAACTAACCAACTAACTCAGGGGGCATCCCAGAGGGTAGCCTACGGCTTCAAAGCTAACTTTCCCGTATCCGATTTAAAGAACAAACAAGTTGCGCATTGAGCATTAGATTTGGTAAAAAAACTAGTAAAACACCATCTCCTATCTGGTGGTTTTAACATGGTTTAGGATGTTTTGACCGGATATTGGGAATATTCACTGGGACTCACACATCAAAATCTGCAGGCTTCAGTCACCATCACAGGGATTTTCATCAGAAACAAATGAGTATTGGTTGGACATAGCCCCCATGGCCATGGCCAGTGACTACCAGGCGAATCACCGGGAGCTCTGGGAGCTCTGGTGTTTTCTTGGGATTCCTGAGACCAACTTTAAGGATGAAAAAGGGGTGCCCTTATTTCAGAAACCACCAAATGACCACTTGTTGGAAAAGGATATCTGATGTACCTATTAAAAAAAGGTTGATTCTACATTGCCGTGTGAGGTTACTGCAAGTAGGTTCCAGGACATTTGCGATTCAAGCCCGCGAGGCAAAAGTTGCAGGTTCAACAAACAATATACCGTATACCAACGGGAAAAAAAAACACGTCCAGCCAAAATACTATACAAGTGCAATGCGGTATTGAATAATATATTGGTACTGAGTACCTGCATGCAAGTGCAAAATTGCCCGGATCTTACGATATCAGCAGTTCATTCGTTGGATTATTCGATGATTTTCCCAGCTGCGCTCCTCGGCCACTCTTCCAACATGCTCATCCCAGGTCCATGCCTCGGGCCGTAAATGTTTGTTGTGGTGGTTATCATTACTGTAGCTAAGAATCAAAGGATCAGTTGGTCTATGTATATATATATATATACACAGTAATTATACACAAATACTGTTTCACATATATATATAGATTGCCATTACTTTGTATATTTTTTAAATTGACCCATGGGTCCAATTCCAAATGATCACCTTGACTTCATTGAGTTGATTTGAGGTGGGATTTTCTAGTGTCTTTGGCGTGAAAGTTCTCATTCTGATGGTCTTCAGTCAGTACAACATCCCTCCAAAAGGCATTTAATGTATTGTTGTATGACATGACAAAAGCACCTCTGCATACATATTACTGTACTACACATATATTTGTCTGCATGCAAAAGTGTTGCTAAGAAATTGCAGTTTCCAGGGAATAGCAAAAGAATCGCAGCCTTCCTTTCATCATATATAGATATATAGTATCCTGTCTTCCTTCGGCAAAAATTCCCTTTAGAATCCTTTAGATAGGCCACATCCCCAATATGCAGCAGGCCTTTTGACATGCAGCGCTGCACTCCTTGACAAATATGGATTTCCGCTCACGCTTGCACAGTGTAATCAAGTGTAGTCTGCATTTCCGACAATCCAATCATTCAATACCCCTATCCTACAAAAAATGTTATATATATATATATTGTTTGAGAATGTTTGAAACAAGTATATAAGATTAACTTTGAGGAAGCTTAGTCTTCCACCAGTTTTTGCCTCTTTTGGTGACAGAACATGCTTTGAAAGGAAAGATCGCACTTCTTCAAAGGAATATAGCAATGTTTAAACGGTTCATTCATTCATAAGTTGGAAATGCACGTTAGATGCAGCGACACCACATTTCTTAAAGAATACTTTCTTCTTTCAAAAGAGTCCTGCAACCCCAAAGGATTCCACTTCACAGTAATCTTCCATTGTCTTAAGAGAATCTTACATTGTTTTCCATCCATTGATTCACTCCTTATGAACAAACTATCGCCCAAGTACTATCGCCCAAGTTGAATGGTGAAATATCGATTTCAACATCATTAACATATATTAACATATACATCATAGAGTAAATCAAATAATATCTATATATAAATATATCATAATATATCTATACTATTCCATACTAGTGTTTAAAATGCACCCAAGAAATCCACCATCAAACATCCACCACCAGAAATCTCGGCCTCTGGCATCTCCTCCATCTTCTCCATGGCCTTAATCAAGGCCTCGCCGCCCAAGGCACTGGCCACCCGAAAGTCGTGCGCCACTTGCGCCGTTGCCGTGTTGGCCTTTTCGTAGATGGTGTCCAACACCTGGGGTAGGCCCCTCGTTGAAACATTGGAGCTGGTGAATTTCCCACGATGTTGGGGAAGTTGGGGATGTTTGTTTGGGAATGTTCCGGGTGCTGAAAAAAAAATGTAACATGGTCCTTTTACAGGGTTGGATTGAAGAATAACTAGTTTGACATCAATGAAAATCATCAAACGTACAAAAACTGGCTGGTACCAAAGGCTAGTTGGCGGTTGAACCCCAAAGAGAAAGCAAATTGATATTGGAGAGTTCATGTCGTTAGTTATCCCATTCGAATCTAAACGGCTAGTTTCTCGTTCCATGGGTCTGAGATTTTGACCACCAACTCCCGCGCGAAACGCCAAAACATGTGGTCCAGGCACGGTTTTCTTGCTGTCAAACTTTGGACTCTGCCTTGGGACCCAGTGCTCGGGGCCGTGACACCAAAAATGAGAGAAATCAAAGATAGGATTTTCATCTTGGATATGCTGGGATGCTTTCAGATTGATGACTGTGGAGTTTGGATTTCCTATGATTTCCTTGTTGTTATGTGATGGGGGGACCCAAAAAAAGTAAGAACCGCCTTGTTCGGGGGTTTGAACTTACATTGCGTTCTTTCTTGTGGCCTCAGAGGCTCTCAAATGCCAACCGCCCTGACCGAATGAGTAAATCGTCCCGGTGATATCCATCCACCACCTTCTGGATGAATTTCAACGAAATTCAACAACAAAGGTTCCGCTACTTCCCCTACATTCACCATCATCTACAGGGCTCAGTCGGCCATGAAATTCGAATTGCTGAAATAGAGTGAAACACACATTTTTGTCCACAGTTTCCATCCATCCCCTATCATGATACCTCCAATTTTCTTGGCAAATAGCCCCCAAATCATCCTATCCCATTCTGATCCCCGATTGTTGCTGCGATTTAGTCCCATTCCCATCCTGGTGGTTTCGTAAAATTTGGACCACCGCAATTGATGCAATTGGATGCAATTGGATGGTTAAATATACTACAAAATGTGGAAAATGACATCACTTTGGGTGATTTTGTTAGGGAACAACCTATTTTTGGCAGAAACTGCAAGTCAAATGACATGTTTGGCCATTATTTAACATTATTAACCATATTTTAGCCTTCATAGAGTTGTGAATGTTTTCCACTATCCAGGGGGGGCGCCTCCATGAGTCAACGATTTGGGGTCATCCGAGGCGCTCCACCACCGTGATGCGCACATCGGGCTGCAGCCGTATTTGGCCCTCCTTGGGCTGCTCCCGACCCGAAAAATACGACAGCAGCGTGGACTTGCCGCAGCCATTGGCGCCCACCACGGCCAGCTTGCGGCCCTGATCAAAACATAGGATGTGGGGAACCCCAAAGGCATCCAACTTAATGGTAACCTTTGGTAACCAGTGGTTTTGGCGTATCTCCAACTTTTTTGGGCAAGAACCACATAGCGTATATATGCAACGTGTAGATACGTGTGGTATGTTTGAACGTGTAAATGTGTGCCAATGTCTGTGTAGGGAATATCATCATCATCACCACCACCACCACCATCATCATCATCATCATCATCAACCTTCATGTGCACATGTAAAGGGCTTTAAGGTCGGCTACGGACTTCCATACTCAGACGATCGGTCGTTCAGCATGTTTAAACCCATCCCGCGAATATTCTCTATGCATGTATATAAACAAATAAATGTATGTCTATAAAAATGAATATATATATATATGTACAATGCTAGTAATACAATAATAAACCATCCATACTGTGATCAGCGATGGTCTATACCACCCAGTTACGGTAAATTTAGAGATGGTTTACTATTCCTTTTCCAGCATTAAGGATCATTATTGTTGGTATCTAATATTATTGTGATTATATTATATATATATGTTAATTTGGGATCATTCTCCAAAATCTTCAAAAATATCGAAGATATCGAAGAATGCGAGCCTTGGCGATACTCAGGTCATCAATCTTGAAGAGAGTTCGGAGCCTCAGGTCGCTGCACCAGCCATCCGTACGGCACGAAACTGATTGGTTCATGGTAACCACCCAAGATAGAATAGTCATTCATTACTATTTTTTGTGGGATTTTACATGATTTTACTGTTCTACCTTTTTGGGGGTTGCTACAAGTTACGTTCGCAGTCTTTGAACTCTCTTCGTATGTGTGTCAGCATGAAACAAATGCCACACTGGGCGCAGATGCAGGGCAAAATTCAATTATAATTTGCAGTTTCCCCTTCATCCTGTTCACATGTTTGGGACAAAGATACAGTATGAAAATGCAGGATTTCATTCTTACCCGATTTCTCCCTGATCATTTACACATTTGAAGCAAGGTTAGTGCACTAGACTTCCTTGTTCGTGGTTTTCACATGTTTTCACCACAAAGAACATCTATGATAGTCAATTGGGATTGTCTGAGATAGGAATGGACATATATATATATATAATCATATTAAAACGCCCACCGATCAGGCATTTCCTCCAGTAAATCCACCATGAAATCCCACCATTTTGCACAAAAAAAGTCCAACCTCACAGCTATGAAAAACCAAACAAAAACCGTATGAGCTATGAAAAATAGTCTATCCATGTCTATCCCATGATACTGATTCGGAAACAGGTACCCCAAATATGGGCTAATCCAATAAATCAGCCAGTAGCACGACTCTCACGATCCGATGTTCTATCTTAAGTACGGGAAGGCTTAACTTTTTCATAGGTACCCCCATGGGAACTTACAATCGGTCAGTTATCCCCGTAACCAATCAACATCAATCAGCTTGTGCAGGAGGTTCTTACAGCACACAATTGGGGCAGCTGTGTCCCTATCCCACCATACTGGTTGGTAAATAGATACCCTTTAAATACTGGTATTCCCCAATTTTCCCCAATATGTCCCAATATAGAGTATCTATTCGAAATAAAGCGAGTCAACCCAATATCATAATTAATTGTAATTGTCATTGAATTCCTATTTTTCTTTGCGTAGACGGCGTAGACCCATAGAAATTCACCATGTAATATGGACATTTCTATAAATCATCCTCAATAAGAGCTAGGGAAACCGTTTCAATATGTAATCTATATTTTAAGCAATACCTATATAATATTATATAATAAACTTGATCGTATACCATTGCTAAATAGGTACCCCAATTAAGTAATCCCTCAAGAGTTCTATTTTCATCCCCTTCCATTGGTTTTTATTACTGGGTACATCCCCAATTGGTGGGATGATTTTAGCCACCCACATGACCTACCAGGCTCTGATAAGTAAACCATCACAGAAACCATTACTGTTCTATATGGAGTTGGTTTTTAACAGTTTAAAACTAGGTCAAGCATGGTTTATGGCAGATGTATCTGTAGTATCCATAATATTGTATTCATGAGGTTCATAAAGCCACAAACATCGGGGTTCAATCACTGCCGTGCTGCTCGTCGTGGGTGCCGCGCACCTCTTTGACTTCGAGCAGCGCAGAAAAGAGGCGCTGCGATCTCGTCCAAGCGAGGCCCAAGGCCAACGCCCACAGACGTCGCCATCGCACCGATCCCATGGATCCAAGGGGAAGATTTTGGGGAACAAAACATGGGGAAACCGGTGATCAACCATGGGATGTGGGGATGATCATGGCTTGTTTTTTCAAAGAAATCACTAGGAAAGCAGGGTATTTTTTTATCCCCATGTTGTTAAGTTGGCTGTGTGGCGTGTCAACCGACGGCACATGGATGGCTGGTGAAGTATTCAGGCCTTGAGTTGATTTTGACCAAGATTATTTTTCTTTACGAAAAGTAATTGGATCGAATCGGATCAACTAGCCACAATAGATGTACATATCTTGCTGCGATCTGTCAAAACCTGATCCATATATAAAGTCATATAATTAGGGAACGCAACAACATAATTTTCACGTGGGATTAATCAACTCTCTGTCTTCTCCCTGAATAAAGTAATAAGTAAGCCAACTTTGCCGGCGGAAGTAACAATACCATACAATACCCCCTGTGAATAAAGTATGCCAACTTTGGTTGTGAGGTTCTGGGTTGCTTTTTCAATTTGAAATGTTCTTGTGTTCAAGTAGGCAATTTTCTCAGCGATGCAGTTTTGCTTTTCAAATGGTTCGGCGATAATTAATTCCATTAATTTCTGTTCAAATCTCTGATATATCCCGAGACCTGTTGGTTTACAGGGACAGATTTTAAACCCCTGCCCAATCAACGGCAAAATGTACCTACGAAGGAAAAGCATTTTGATTGTTGGATGATGTTGGATGCTAACCACAAACTCTCACTGTAGTATGTGCAAAGATACCCAGTGTTGCAAATGCAATTGAATCAAATGAAACATGCCATGGCTGCAATCAAAAGGCGCCCCTTTTTGCTGATATCTCGGCCCAGTGCACTGCGGTGCATACATGCTGATGCTATGAGACCAAGGACATTCGGCTGGAATTTCACACTCATCTTTGTTTTTGGACTTGGTCTCTGTGCTGCATTTCTCGTAGCATTGCATATGGATGCTGGAGCCATAGGTGGAGCATTTGCATCAGTTTTGACGATGTTTTCGTCAATCCATCAGCCCACATCAGGTCAGTTGGTACCCAATGCGTATTGTCTCTGGTGATGTACTGTTGAATGCTCCTCACTGAAATGATGGTTCGCTTGTCATCTACTGAAGGGTTTTCAGCAACGATACTGTCGTATAATGACTTGCAATCCGTCACTTGCAGCATCCGCAATGGCTTGGAGATCTTGAAGGAGGCTGTTCTCTGGAGGATTTCGGAGAGCATGAGGTTGACAAAGCTGGATCGATCCACTGATGAATCTGCAGCGCTTGCTTCGGCTGCCAAGGTGCTTCGGCAAACACGGCCCGACCTTGAGCTCTTCCAATCCACCAGGCATGCAGGAGAGGCTCCATCTGTTGCCTTTGCATCTGCAAACAAAATGAGACATCCATGTTGCGATGCGTAGTTCTCCGCATTGGCCCAAGAAGAATCCGCATAGGTGATGACCAAGGTGGAGTCATCAATTGCAGCTGGGTTCATGGTGAAGCCTTTGTCACTGGTCTTCCGCAAGTGATCCACGGCTTCATACATCGCAGCCAGGTCTGCATAGGTCGCCTTGCCGCCTTTGCTATGAAGACTGACTGTCGCCGCCACATCAGGACGAGTCTGTCCTGCGACCCATTGAAGGCTTCCTGCCACTGAACGGTATTCAGGGAAATCGTCTTGTTTCAAAACATCAGTTTTCTTTCCCTGGATGTTGCCGCTCTTGAAGGCCTGGATAAACTTCTCCTGCTTCAAGTCAAGGACATATTGTTGCCTCTCATTGTCATAGCGCAGGTGAATCTCCTTGCCTTTGAACTCCAATGGCTGGTCTGTGGTCAGCGTGTTTTGCGAACCCCAACTGAAAAGGCTAAGCAGATCTTTCTTGTTGAAGTGGTCTGAAAATGTGACCAAAAAGTCATCCACATAGACCACGGCGACAGCTACCAAAATCTCTTCAGCAAATCCCTTGACCTTCTTGTACAAAAAGAAAAGCATCTTGTCAAGTGAATGCTGAATCCACCCGCTAGCTTTCAAACACTTGCAAACATGCATGGTCCATGTTCTTGGTGCTGATGCTAAACCATAGATGTTCCCCTTGACAAGGTACAAGGGTGCAGTGAAAACTTCTGCAAGAATGCTAATCTGGTCTCTTGGTGGTGCCAGATACAAGGGCTCATCTCGAGGATCTGGTTCCCCTTGGAGGAAGGCGGTTTTGACATCGCCACACCAAAGATACCAAACTGCGCCATCGCGGTTCATCTTCCTGTTTCGGCCAGAAATGAAAATGGCATAAACCAACATCTCTGACTGCCGCAATGGAGTAGCACTCTCGCGGACCAAGGTGTAAAGGTCAGGGTCCAAGCAACCCAAAGCCACAACTCGAGCTTTCGCTCGGAGGGGTCCACATCCTTTGGCTTTGTCTCGATACGCTGCACGGGATCGAAGGACTCGTTTGCGACCCTTCGCTGTGGACATGATTTGATCTGCAGTCTTCTGGTCAATTGGCTCAACAGAACCAAATCTCATCCAAGACTTCTCCTCATCCTGTGCCGCTTTGACAAACTCAGCCAGGTAGTCGCCACCCTTTTCAACGATCACACGCCAAGGTAATTCTTTGTCAAGGGCTTTTTGTTGTTGGCGTGTCAGTGGAGATAGCTGAGGCTTGGAGCTGGACATGTCTTCCTGTGAGGCGTCTGAGTCATCACTCATTCCATCAACTTGGTATTCGGCACTTGCTTTGTATGCCTTAAAGCATGTTGTTGATGCATGTGGCATGTAGATGTCTGTTGTGCCGTCGAAGTGCTTGTTGTTGAGTGTGATGCCTTCGTCTGACATCTGCATGGGTGCTTGCTGTGCTGTACGGAATGCTCTGCAGTGCTTGGGGCTTGTATGCTGTTGAATTCCAACCACCGTGTTGGCGGTCTGCATGCTGTAAAAGTCTGTGCTTGTCACATTGTTTGCTGTAAGGGCAGAGTGTGACTTCTCTGCCGGCTGTGCTGGTTCTATTGCCGACGCTGCTGCGCTGGCTTGTTGTGCTTGCTCTGGCATGTCTCGTTTGCGTGTTGCATCAGGCAAAGGCTCGCCTGGTCGTTTGTCTTGTCTTTGTCGGCTTGTGTCAGAGCTGCCTGTTGCTCTTTGTTGGTGTGCCTGTTGTGCCAGAGCTTCAGGTGTTGTTGGGACCTGTTGTCCTACCTCTGGTTCTGTGTCTGAGATCTCAACTGTCTCTGTGTGTTCTGCCGGTACTGCTGGCAGTGGAGGTGTGTCTGCTCCAGTGCCGATTGCTGGTATGTCGTGTGCATGCTGCTGTTCATCTCGTATGTTCGGTGTTGCTCTGTTAGGTGTACGTGAGCGTGCTGCTCGACGCACTGGTGTTCGAACAGTTGGCCGTCTCAACTGTTCTGCTGTCATGCCAAAAGTGTTGTTCTGCTGCTGCTGTAAAATGTTCTGTTGATTGTATGTTGGGGATGTGACTTCTATTGTGATATGTTGATGTTGCTGGGTTACTGACTGTGATTGTTGTATGTTTGGCAGTTGAGGTTGTATGGATCCTTGATCCGGTTGCACTGAATCAGGTTGTTGTCGTACTTGAGAAAGTTGTTCAAGTAGTGGATCTGGTACTGGAGTAAAAACTGGTGGCATGAAGTCTGGTTCGACTTCTTTGAGGTTGTCATCGTTGCCAAGCTCTTGATATGGATCATCGGCCACGGGCAACGTCTCATCTTCAAAGATGCCCTTCTTGATGTTGTCAGAGGCTGTTCTAAGGGCACGAAGATCAGCAGGATCGGGGTGCCATGCCTCAAAGCCATAGGCCTTTCTGGCCTGCTCTCGGGCCAACTTGATGGTGTTGGTGCCAGACTGAACCCAAAGCGACTTGCCATCTGGATCGAAGCCCAGCATTCGGGCCAGTTTATAGCCACCTCTTTTGCGGCCGCTTCGTGCAGTCCACCTCCAATATGCCAAGGTGTCACCAATGACATACTCATCCTCAGGAGTTGGCTTTGCCTTTCGCAGCAGTGATCGTCGAAACGATGAGTCCACATTCATGGCAGCAATCTGCTGTTGGGCTTCTGCACGGAGACTGTCGGCCAGCTGCTGCATGTGCTCACGAGTGCCGCCAGTTGCCAAACCATGCTGATCTGACAAAAGGTCCAAGCCTCCATGTCGAGGAATTCTGCCAAAAGCTGCAATGAACGGAGGACGTCCACTTGACCACGTGCAGGCATTCTTTGAGAACGTGGTGGCAGCTATGGCTTGCTCCATCTGCTCAGGGCCAACGATCCCATGTGCATCGATGATGCGTTCCGCAATGGATCGCAAGGTGGCATTGTGGCGTTCCACCAGGCCCATTCTATAGTGTGCCTCTGGTGGCACATAGTCCGTAAAGGTTCCTGTAGTGTCGAGATACTCTTCGAAGGCTCCTCGGAAACTGCCATCAGCGTCCAACCGGCAGACCAAAGGAAAACCAAAAGGTTGAGCCCATGTTCGAATGAACTGCCGAGTGATCTCTTCAGGAAACCTGGACTCCAAAAGACATGCTTGATGCAGATGGGTGCACTCGTCAATGATTCCAAGGACTGGGTAATTGTTACCTGCGACGTCCCTGATATAGACGATGTCCAACTGGATCTCGTCTGCAAACTGTCTGAAGTTGGATCGAGGCATAGATGCTGGAGCTGGCTTTGGTGGTGGTCTTGTCCGCAAACATGATGCGCAAACCAAATCATCTACAGCTGACAGCACCTTCTGGCTCGAAATGCCATTCATGGCCATCAACTTCTTCAGCTCTGTTGATGGTGGGTGTCCAAGATTCCGATGCATCCGTGCGACCAAAGTCTTCAGGTCGGCACCGTAGTTGATGGAATTCTTGAAGGCGATGTCGGAATCTCTGATGTCTGCCCGCTTCAAAGGGTCATCTTCAGGATGTGGTGGTCCTGGTGCAGGTTGGGAAGGTTCTGGCAGTTGATCTGGTGACAGGGCCATACCAAACCAAAATATGCCGATGTTCACTGGCTTGTGGAATCTGCCCTTGGGAAATCTAAGGTCACCAAGGTCTTCAGAGACGATCTGTCTCGTTCCATCGTTGTATAGCAAGGCTGAACCCCTGTGGGTATGCGGCACATGTGTTGGAAAACGGTGCAATGCAGGTTGGAGAGCAAGTTGAATCCGCTCAATGCTGTGCCAGGGAACCAACTTCTCAATCTCACGCCACAGTGGATCAGAGTGTGAAAGCACAATTGTCTTGTGAGAGGTCCTTCTGAACAGTGCCTCAGTGGAGTCGAAGATGTTCTGCCATTTGTCTAGGTCCTCATCAACGTTGAAGTTGTCAACAGCAAAAGCTATAAACTCTTGTGGTGGTTGATGGAAACGTCCAGGGTCAACTTCAAACGCTGTCTTGTAGAGGCCGTCGACAATGGCTTCGACCAATCCGGGGCAGTACTCCTGACTCAACGTGGTCTCATGGCCTTGAAGTGGCACACAGTGTCGTTGATCTCCAGGAGATAGCCGCTCTTGTAGTAGATCAAGTACATGTGGGCAATTCCCAGCAAACTTGTGACCTTTTCGGATCATCTGGCCTTTGGAGTTAGTCGCTCCATAGGCTCCAGCATGACATGTCACCATGTGTGATGTTGATCTTTCAAGCAATCGTCGCAAGGAAGGTTCATCCCACAGTCTGCTCCTTTCAGGGTTTTCGATCAGCCAGAAACGACCGTCACGATCTTGTTGCTCGCACCATTTGACGATCTTTTCGATCATGGGTCTGACCTCAGCTCGCCAGGCTGCAAGCTCATCTGGTCTGTTGACATAATTGGTGTTGTCCTGAAGCAATGTCCAAGGTCTGCAGTCAATTTCATTCAAAAGCAGCAGAGGTCGATGTAGATCAATGGCTTCTTGAACCTGCTTCTGACATTTTCGGTCCGCCAAGTCAAAGCCGGTGTTGTAGTCCACAGGCATCAAGGTCTTGAGACCCCATCTCGAGGCCAGCTTGCTGACATTGGCAGAACCTGCGAAGGTCTCCAAGAGGTCAACCTTGGAAATCTTGGTGCGAGGCTTCTGACTGGACATCATCACATTCTCGATGTTGTGAAGATGTATCGCGTGACGAAGTCGTTGCAGCAAACCTCGTTTTGTTGCATTGGTCAGTGAGCATGGAGTCTTGTCCTTGAACTTGAAGATGGTTCGTCCGGTCCAAGGCTCTGAGGACTGCTGTCTGGACCCTGTTGTCCAGTTATATCGCACCACCTCAGTATTGCCATCATGCAGCTCCATCTCAACCACGCAAACATGTTGAAGGCGATGGAGAGGGACAGGACATTCTGAATCATATGGGTCAAAGAGCTGGCATCGCGGCTCCACGTGATGCCTTATACAAGCTCCAGGTGTGATCTCCCAATGATCATTCATAGGCTTCCCTCCCAGTCGTACGGATCGTCCTGGTACTCGTCCTGGTAAGGGTCGTTGTCTTCCGAATCGATTGGCATATGGCTCATCGCAAGTTCCCACTCGTCCTGGGGCATTCCAGCTTCTTCCCATGGTGTGAGCTCCTGGCTGGAAGTTCTCGGCCTCCTCGACGATGGTTTGACCTTGGGCGTGGAACCCTTGGTCGATTTGCCCTTGCTCCGGCCCTTGGCTGGCAGGATATTCGAAGGAGATGGCAGTGGCAACTGCGATGAGGGCCGTGACGACTGCTCTCCAAATTGTTCCCATCCTTGAAGGTCGGTGTTGAACTTGAAAGTCTGGCGGCATTGCAGGCACTGGCTGTACCTGCCCGACTTGTTGCCATACCTTCGGAACTCTGGATGGGTGCACAGAGCTGGCAAGGGACGTACTCGCTCCTGCCTGGTCACTCGGTCCTCCTCCATCATGAGTTGCTGCTCCAACATGGTGAGCCATGTTCTCGGAGCCAGTCCCATGCCCACCATCTATGGGTTTACTGTAAATATGCCTGGATCTTCAAAAGTACCGACAAAAACTGTCCTGTCGGAACTTTGAACGCATATCTGCGCAAACAGTGCGCAAATCTTGCAAACATACCAGATTGGCACATTTGGATCATACGTTCAGAAATCAAGTGGCGCAAGAACTTTTGGCCATCATTTAGACATGAGTTAAAAAAATTGCCTGTGGACCTACGGTAGTACGTTGAGTGTCAGATCAACAAATTCTATTCCTGAGAGGTGTTCCTGCCAGCCCCACCTGTTTTCGCATGGTCCCACCGACCTGCCCCTAATGACAAAAATATAATGCTTTTTTTTTTCTGTCGTATGGCAAAAACTGTAGTGTGTTGATCTCCAAATGCTCCAAACCACAAACAAAACGTACGCAAACAAAACGCAAAAATAGGGAAATAATCCGCAAGAGCAGGCAAAAACCCACAACAGTAAGCAATTTGCAATTTCAGTACTTTTTGTTTTGGACAATTCTGTTTTGGTGGGCTTACCAACCAAACCTTTGATTGCACAATTCGCGCAATACAGGGGGCAAACGAAAGGCTCATACTATACTCTCGACTTGGTTATAAAAGTATGATCAGATTGGGACGATTGGGACTCGAATTTACATGCATGTCACAATGCATCAATCATTGCTACCTGTGTGACGTTATGATATGACATGATATGATATGTTTATATATATTTAGCCCAAGTTCAGTGGTAGAATGACATGGTGTGGAAAAGCCTGTTCAATCTTGTTTTGGAACGTTCAGTTTTGGCGAGGAACGGTCAAAACGGCCCAAACGTACAATGGTCCAACCGTACAAATATCATGGAACTTTTGAAGGTCCAGGTGTGTTTGAATATCAACAGACTTGCTGCTTAGGCCGACGCATTCAGCTTTCCTAGCTCTGGGTGCTCGGCGGGTCTAGGAGTCTAGGCTGACTGCTTCCATATTTACATCATTATGGAACGATAGGAACCAAACGTTTAAATCCCCATTTGCGGTCAAAATTCTGAAACCCAGGGGGCAATCTTTGGGCCTGAAAAACTTCCCAGGCGCCCACGGTAGCGCGATTGGCGCGGATCCTGCCATTGGCTTCGGCGGCCACATAGCCCCCAGAGCTGCGAAGGGAGATCAAACCTTGGCAATGGACCCAACGGTGCCATGTCCCCTGTTGATGTAGCAGCAACTATTGGCATAAGCCAACTATAAAACACCCATAGATCCAAAACCGTTAAGACCAAAGATATTGATGCATCAACCACACTAAATAATTAAACCATATTAAACCTCAGTATCTCGGGCTCAACCAGTCAACCCCAATTTTTTCACCCAACACCAACGACACCAGCATCCCCATCCCAGATGCCGCTCTCGTGGCTTTCGACTTCGAATTTGCTCTCCTCCTCCACCGAGCTGCCTCCGTCATCCCGTCATCGGGAGGTTTGTTTCAAGGTGCTGGAAATTTGTGCCCTTTTGAGATCTAAGAATGCCTAAGAATGGGAGCCACCATCAAATGTTTGTTTAACACATCGGAAAATCATATAACATCATCATATGCAATAGGCTATCGGTAAATCAGCTATAAATGGGCCATTTTCAATGGCTATGTTCAATTTCAGGAGTACTCCTATGGGGATGGTGGGTACTTGGACAATCTATCTGAAAATCAAAATTGCCCCAGCTGACGTGGCATCCATGCTTTGTAAATGGATCAGGCCTTTGAATCCACTCAAATTGATACATAAATCAATCAAAATAAATCAAAAGCACATATTAGTACATTCACGTAATCTATCTGATTCATTCTGATTCTATATTTATATGATTTTAAAATATTTCAAATGGATAAACCATGATAAACCATGACATATACAAAACATATAGGGAAATCAGGATGGGATGTGACGGGCAAACGACAACCACCAACCAACCATGGACATAGATATCCACAAAGCCCTGACCTCAAGGTAGCCTGCCAAAATGGCAACATGTCCATCTTCACCTTGCCATACCTTGCCTGAGCCGCGAACGTCTCCATTTTTGTCCACCTTCAAGTATTTTCCTCACGGGCCGCGCGTTTGATCTTTGAACTGCGGCAGGTACTTTAAGGATCTTTAAGGCAGGCTGAGGCAGCCTCAGTTGCACTATTTCACGATGCTAGGATGTCAACTTCCAAATGGAGAGTGTACATACGCAAAAGGAACCCGTGCGAAAGCGCGCAAAAAGACTCGATATCGTGATATATACTATATACAAAAGCTTTGTTGGGCTTCAAGTTGCTTATGAAACTGTGTCCCTTGCCACAGCAATCGCCCCTGTCGGCTGTCCTGTGTGGCATTTCAAAGAGATGCGGCCATCCTGGCAATAAAGGCGCCACGCACCAAGGTCATCCTAGAATTGCTGGTTGGTGGTTGGGCCACTACGGTTGAACACAAAAAAAATGTAATTGGAAAAAACACCAGATTGTGCCAAGGGGGTCTGGGAGAAATCTCAACCTTCTCCAAGAAATGTTAAACCCCACTGGGACTGCCAGCCTGCCTCGTGATGGGTCAAATCAAACTTCTCTGCGTCTTTGACCACGGCACTGGAGGCTCTCAAATCCCCATTGTTCCTGTGATGAAACACCGGGTCTTCAAGGAAGGAAACTTGGGATCTGCTCATCTCCTTCAATGGAAAATCTATGAACATGCTAATTTTCAATTTTCAATAGCCAAATAGTCTACAAGTAGAGTACTTTCCATTAGAATCCAACCAGACTGTTAGATTCGTGGCCTTCGCTCTCGCGAATGGATGCTGCTGTTCAGGTGGACATGCGATCAAATCCCTTGGTGATGTTTGTTTGTGCGATCGTCATCTCAAATACGGATGAATATAACTGATGTTTGACACCACACACTACTGCAAAACATCAACTTGCAGCTGTGCGACTCGGATTTGATGTGCTTTCCTGGTGGGAAAGCGCCACTGTTAAACTGCTGAGACCCCTTCAACTTAGACTGCCATCTTTGACATGATACCATTGTCCTGAACAGCTCGCGTTGCTACTTCGAAAATGTGGCACAGAAACACTTGACATTTCTAAATGATCATGATATATCATGATGATGGTGGTGATAGTGTGGTATGTGGTGGTCGTGATGGTAGTGAGGTAGGCAGCCATCCAGCGTTCAACGTTGGCCCCTGAGGGATCAGCCAGTTCCAATGGCCTCAAATGTTGATCACACTTCAAGCGGAACACCTATGTCTCCCAAGCTGGAAGTTACTTAGACTTGCAGCCATTTTTTTTACTGGTTGGTGGTTGACCTACCCCTCTGAAAAATATATAAACATATTATATTAGTCAGTTGGGATGATTATTCCAAATATATGGAGAATAAACATTTCCAAACCACCAAGCAGTTTTATTACCCGACAGCCAATCGGCCCAGCATGGCCCAGCGGTCCATTGTGACACTTCAAGGCCAAACACTGCAGCTGCCCCATTCTGGAGTCTCCTTGGCGGCCTGGCGACCGATTTTTTGGGAGAAGCCGGGGCCCATGTTAGATATGTTCCTTGGGGAGATGGCAATTCCATAATACAGATATACTATATATATATATAGTGTTTGAAATAGTAAAATATAGCTATAGCTGATCATTCATGGATTTTGATTCATTTAAACAAACAATGTGTAGAAAGGTTATGAAAGGTTGCTTTCCAACGCATGCGGATCATGGGTGTATCACCACAACTGCCGTGCTGCACGTGAGATCAAGCCCATGGGAAACCAGCATTGGGCCGTTGATAGTTGATACGTTCTCCAAATTCTGGGCGGTTTTTACTATTCCACTAGGAACTTATAAATAGTATTCTTATATAAGTGATAAGTGTCTTTTGAATCGCTTGATGAACTGAGCCCGCAAAGGAATAAAAGTAACCCGGTAGTAGGATCATTACGTCCAGTTGTTCAACTTTCTGAAGCATTTGTGTGCGAAACCCAACTGATGAAGTAGAAAGAAGCCTGGGTGATCCTCCCCAATGCCGATCAGCCTGATGCATCTTGCTCCTGTCTGGGGGATGTCACACGGTTAAACAAGGAGATATCTTAACGACTCTTGGGCAAATTCGAAAGATTTCCAGCTTGACCCATCCTATTCTTGGTGTGACAGTGTCCAATTTCCTACAACCATCAATTGAAGGGTTGGCTCAGTGAGTGAGGCCGCTAATTTATCCAAATTCGTGGGGATGTGGAAATGTTCTATGAGGCGTGGGATGGCGCGGGAGCTTCCTCAGGACTTGACACCTCAAGACATCGCAGAGCCAATCTGCGCAAGCTGAACGGATGAATCAAACCATGTACCCTCTGGTAATTTAACATAACTATGGACAATCACCATTTTTAATGGGCAAACTCACTATAAATGGCAATTTTCAATAGCAAACTGTTAGTCATTACCAGAGCGTAGCCATCAGTTGACCCTACCAATCATATGATTTGATGTGCTCGGCGCTGTGAAAGACACAACACAGGGTTCGTTCCACCGGTTCCACCGGGAGCCGGTTCCAGGTCAGTGGGGCCTTGGAATATCGTAGTTGGTGATTCAAATCCTTGGCGAAAAAATCTTTGTGAACCAAAAACCGACATATACCGACTATGACTTTGACTATTTTGTCCCTTGGCGTTCATCTTTGTGAACCAAAAACCGACTATATTAAATTTGACTATTGTCCCTTTTGACTCATGGGATAAACCAGTGCTCATGACCAAACTTGACCAAACTCTCAATCCTCGCGAACACGTTCTGGACGTCGACCATTGGCACCTCGCTATGATGCTGCGCGGATATGCTATGGCATAATGGCACTTTCGGCCAGCGAATGAGTGCGAATGAAAACAGAATCTTGGCCCAATGCATCTGGATGCATCTGGGATCCCACTCTTATGGGGTTTGAACTGTCAATTCAAATTCCCTGGGGGCTTTTCACCCTCTGATAATCAACGGTGGCAAAGGGAACTCCCTTTTAAATTCATGTTCGAATAGGAAACTCCTCGAAGTCAATTCGGACTTGTCCATTGCCATGTTTGAGTACCAAAGGTTCATTTTCCGGAGCCATCTTTTTGAGTATTACAATCACTGGTTATTTAACATAGCCATGGAAAATCACCATGCTATTAATAGGTAAACCCAGGTAAACCATCTATAAATGGGCCATTTTCCATGGCTATGTTAAATAACCAGAGGGTATATGTATCTTTTTGAGTCATCCCACCTCGCGACGACTTGGAATCGACTTGCTCATCCGAACGCACGCGGCTGCGGCCCATGGCACGACTCTTGGATCAATGGGACGCGTGGTTACCAAGAGGCATCCCATTGACATCTTGTGGCATCCTCTGGCGTCAGGTGTATGAAACACATTGAAAAAGCCAAGAAGCATCCCAAAAGCTGATATTCGATGGTATTGGTGGGATATGATAAGATCTAATAAGAATATATCTTCAATATCCCACCAATATCATTCAATATATCTGGCCGTCTGGCCATGATATATCTTCAATATTTCTTTATGTATCTGGCCGGGTCTGCAGGGCTGCTACCATGTGCTATCAGATTTCAAGTCTCCTCATCTCTGGCTTCAACGGGGGCCGGGGGCCAACAGCTTGGGCCAAAGAACGCACGGAGTATCCTGGAGTTGTCCAGGACCCAGGAGATCCATACCGGGAATCTCTGTCTCGTGCATTTTTTCATCATTTTGCATCCTTTTTTCCCTGGCGACCCAATCAAGTCCTCAGTCCTCACATTTGTGAGCCCTTGGCTTGCGCTGCATGCGGGTCACCCCGGCGGGATCCTCTCAGCTGCAGAGATTGTCGCAGAGATCCGGCCGGAGGTGTCCCCTCCCACGAGCAGCATGATTAGACGTGCACTCTACAGCTTCAAACGGCAGTTCCAGGTCCCGGCCGAATGTGCAGCTACTGACATTCCAATCCAGCGGCAAAAATCGCCATGGATATCATATTTCCCAGTATTGGTTTGGAAAATTGACTGGGAAGCCTGTATGTGGCTTGGAAACGCCATAGTTTCCCAACCTAGTGGGTACAGTATATTCTTCATCTTGTACGTTGTTTTCATGTCCCCATGCTGGTGAGATAAAACCTCTTCTTGCCGGTTGAAAACCATCCTTTGTTGGTTGATTCGCCAATTTGGATCAATTTGGTATATTTTGACTAAACTTAGGTTGAAGGGTTTTCTGTGTTTTTTTTGGTACAGGCCCTTACCAGTAAAGATGGTTGTTTCCCGTAAAGTCGCGCTTGATCCAATACTGGGTACCACCAATACACCACCAGCCAGCCACGGAGAGCCCCGCGACAGCTCAGCACCCAGAATGCCAGAAGCACCGCGACTTGCGGCTGCCGGAGGGCTGTCAAATCTATCAACTCAACGTTGCCGCAAGAATGTGATCGAGAACATCATTCTAAAGCATTGAAGATCATTTAAAACAATTCATCATAAACATTCTTTGTTTATTTATGATCAGATGATTTAAAACATGTCAAAACCATCATTAAAAAAAACATTTGTTTGGGCTCGATGAATCTGTGACAGCCCCAGGCTTGACGTCGCCGACGCTGCACTCTGCCCCAGTACAGTGAATTTCCCTCAAGGAGGGTTCAAAAATCTTCCGGCTTGGTGGCCCATCCCGCTGAAAAATTACTTACGAAAGGGGGTCATCTTCCCAACCACCAACCTTTCCACCAAACACCAACCACCAGCTTCCGGAAAGAACTGACAAAGGATCTCAGTCCTTCAAGTGTAAGCCTTAGCTGAGATGACTTGAGCGGATCCAACATGTGCAAGGCCACAGGTCCAGGTATCCAGGCTTAAAAATCTGTGTTCACTGGGTCATCCACTTTCTTGTTGCGGACGCATGGAATTGTTGTCCTTCAATCATTATCATAGTGGTTCTATAAAAATTCATATATATATATATATAAGTATATATATATATACATGTTTCTTACACAGGACATAACTTGTTTTTGGCATGACACCTTACTGCTCAACATCTATGGCAATCTATGGTGGGGTCGTGAGGAATTTCCTCTGCGGCATGGAGCGCTCATCAACCGGGGAAAGTCGTCCCAACCAACACGGTCATATGCACTCCCAAACTCCAGAAACATAAACAACGTGTAGGTTTAAATCTGCATCTAAATCTTATATGAATCAACATGCATATGTACATATATATGGTGCAGCGTTGGCCACCCCCCCTCCCCCCCCCCCACCAATGGGTATGGGTGGACAGTATCGTCTGGTTCTTCTGGCCCCCCCCCCCCCTGTCGTCTGGTATGGTTCTTCTGGTCCCCCCCCCCCCTGTGGCCTGTGGTGGTGGTATGGTTCTTCTGGTCCCCCCCCCGCCCTGTGGCCTGTGGTGGTGGTATGGTTCTTCTGGTCCCCCTCCCCCTGTGGCCTGTGGTGGTGGTATGTTGGTATGTTGGTATGTTGGTATGTTGGTATGTTGTATGTATGTATGTATGTATGTATGTATGTATGTATGTAATGTAAGGTAAGGTAATGTAAGGTAAGGTAAGGTAATGTAAGGTAAGGTAATGTAATGGTATGTATGTATGTATGTACGTAGGTATGTAGGTAGGTAGGTAGGTAGGTATGTAGGTATGTATGTCTGTATATACACCACCACAGGGGCATCATACCCCCCCCCATCCCATGGGGGGGGGTGGGAACACGGGACACGGGACCATATATATACACATACCTGAATAGAAAGAAAGAAGGAAAGAAAGAAAGAAAGAAAAAAAGAAAGAAAGAAAGAAAGATAGATAGATACATAGATACTATATATATATATGCATATGAATATATAAATCTATGTATGTGTATATATAAATAAACGTGTATATATATATATATACATAGACACTTAAAAACCATATCTCGTTTCACGCTCAAACATATCCACTCCCATCGTCAACCCCCTCCATTGATCTTCCAAGCATCAGTGGTGGAGTAAGGCCTTCGCCACCACAAGCTCTGGGGCAACCAAGGATAAAAAGGTGTCCCAGGATATCGCCTTCTCCTCGATGGTGAGCCAATGCAGAATCATCATTTGTTTAGATGATATTTTTAGTTAATGATCACAGAAAACATATTGTGTATATATATAGTATTATTTCATAATATAATCTATCTGGGTTTTGAACCATGTTTAGTTCATGTGCATATATAATATGCTCTATATTGGTTTTTGCCTTCTGGAACCAAACCTCTGCTTCAACCCCGGAATAATAAACCACCAGTTTATTAATATGGGGGTTCCCCAAATAGTGATATTTCATGATATTTCCCTTTATAAAAGGTATCCAAATTGGCAAACTAGGGGTTTATTGTTCAATGCCACTGAGACCTCCAGAAACTCACCGGCCATCCGAGCCATCGCTCCCCACGATGTGCCTTAGTGACCTCGCGAATGGTCAAGTTACACACCTCGCTGTCTGGCACATGGCCAAAGACCTCGCGTCCCGGAACCCCTAGGGGCCCCCTGGCTCTGAAGGGTTGGGAAAAGGGTGACCTTCATGTTTTTTTTTTATGGAAGGGGTTGGAAAGTCAATGTGCTTTTTGGACCTTCCTTTTCGGATTTTCTTGGGGCTGAAAAGGGGTCAGGCTATGTTATTTTTTTTTGACGGAACAATTCTTACATTTGGGGGGGCCCAATGGTTAATTCAATCCTCAGTCGTCCCACACATGCATCCGTCTTTGAGATCGGATGAAGGTTGGGACCCTGATTCATTTATCACCAGTGAAAGGGTGCAAATGATCGTTTGTGTGTGGCCCTCACAGTGGAAAACCTGGGGTGAAACAAAATGGCCGGCCATCCGGATTTTTGAACTGGCTCTGTAAAACAAATAATTACGAACAAAATAGGTGATTTTGATTCTCAAGATCTTCATATGCGTTTGTCTGCAAGTATGGTGCCTCCAAATCCCATGGTTGATCAGCAATTTCCTGCTTAATTTTAATAACTTGGTTTCCCCTGATTTCTGGACATTCCCAAATCACACAATCTCACTGTTAGTTGCATATCCCATCATATCTACATGATTGTCCCACTACATCCCCATATCATGATTGTTTACTTCCATAATTAGGTACAGCACTATATCCCCATATAATTGGTTTAGGACCCATTTGCATTGATGAGTGGTTAAATTATAACTATAGATCCCTATTTTTCACGGATCAATCCCAATTTCGGATGGTCGGAGCCCAATTTTCTATCAATTCCCGGGTGAAAACAAACGACAAAACCAACGCACTATTTCCGCGCCTTTGCCAAATCGGTCTGACCGATGACCCCGTCCTGGCCGCAGTGCTTGAGTAGGTATGCGTAGGTGGTTAATGACCCGCGGTCATTATTCCCAACTGGCGGCAAAATCACCATCGTTTAGCATACATTTGACAACTGGGATGCACATCCGTTGGATTGGTTGGATTGGTTTCAGGGAACATCTACAAAGTTGGGCCGAGCTTTGTGTCGCTAAAAAAACACATGCCATATCATGCCATACAGCCAAATATACGAAAGCGGCCTCAAATTTTATGAAAAAGGAACGGCCAATTGTTATATGTTATTGGATTTCTTATGAACAAATTAGAGGCCGTTCCTTTTTTATAAATCAACAACTATATATTTATTGATGCCTCAAATTGCAACTATTTATTTGGTTTCCCTATGAAACAAATATCCCACGTGATCATCCATTTAATTGTCCATTAACACGTTAACATCAAAACCAGTATCTCTCTCCATCGCCATCCCATCATATACTTAGTATATCCCAAAAATGTTTCTATCATCTGGTTATTTAACATAGCCATGGAAAATCACCATTTCTATAAATGGGCCATTTTCCATGGCTATGTTAAATAACCAGAGGGTATATATAATGGATTATCATGGATCCCACTAGTAATGGAATATCCATATTAAACCAGTACTGGTTGGTGGTTTGAACCCATCTGAAAAATATGAAAGTCAGTTGGGATTATCCTTCCCAATATATGGAAAAATAAAACATGTTCCAAACCACCAACCAGAGTAAAATGGAATATCTAAAACCAGTTATATATTGGAATGGCATATAATCCCAATAATATTTTGTTTCATGGGATATCCCACTATTAAACATTATTAAACCACTATAATGGAATATTCCAGGTATTTTAGATATCCATAACTGGATCCCACTATTAAACCACTATAATGGAATATCTAAAACCAGTTATTGGCTCCAAAAAATCCCTGGGATATCCACTGATCCCATTGCCAAAAAGCCAAGGCCGCCTTATCGGCGTCCAAAATGTTAAAGGTCACCTGGCACCGCAGCAACTGACCATGGTCTTTCCGAACAAAAAAAACGTGTTTTCTCGAACCCAAACACATGACGATTCATGTTTGTATGTGTTTATAATGTTGACATAAAAGCAAACACATGTGTATATATATATATAGAGATGTGTGTGTGTGACTGTATGTCCCAATTGATGCCAGTTTTCCTGGGAAAAAACAACACATTATCACCCAAAGAATCCCCATGTCACAGTGGCATCCAGAATAGCGCCTGCCTAGGGCCTAGGGCCTACATCTACGTTGGGTGCCCAGTTCATTACCAATGTTGCCATGGTTGACCAAAAGTAAACAAACTTAACGGATTTATCATTAATATGGCAAACGCAACTGCGCAACTGCATGATGTTCCCATATTTTTACATGATTCTCCCATGAATTGGCCATATTTTTGGGGGATTTCCGCGTCACAAATGGATTGCCTGGTTTCTGGGCCTCCAAGATGCGTGCATTGCAGCGCGTCTCTTCGGGCAGGGTGACCGCCAGGAAAGCCCGGTAACTGATGTAACCTCGATTTCTGCAGCGTATCTGGTGCCGGTAAGATAGATGTGGCAAAGCCATGGAAGCCGTTCGGATATGGATCTACTATTGAACTGTTTACCTTGGGCAAGCATCCCTGTAGTTATCCTTGGGATTAGGATAGCCCCTAAAGCAGATCTAACATATTGACGACTTACTAAGTGGGATGATCCTTCAAGTTCAGGGACAACGACGGAACCCTTGGTCAGGAATTCATAGGAATTCTATGGACAACTTCAAAGGACACTTTGCTGGAAACCATGGGTTTCAGCAGAAACTTGAGGAAAGCCTTGGAGGAAATTGCTACACAGGAAACATCAGGAAACCAATGGCACCAGCGAAAACATCAGAGGAAAGTTGCCATCAGGGCTTGCGGAACCGGATGTAGAATGGTATGGGGCATGGGCTATACCTAACAGGCCCTAGTTGACGTCCAAAAATGGCAACAGCAGTGCTACCTTGGCTATCAAACACGATTTTCACATCATTTTCACATCTATCAATCTTTCATACGCCACTTGGCTAAACGTCCTAAGGTCCTTGGCTCAACGCCACTTGGGGATAGCTGAAGGTAGCTGCTGTCACGATCTGAAGATTCAGGTGCTCAACTTTTCACAGCCGTGGCCAACCGCCCTGTTGAGCTTGCTGAAGCAACATCGTCTCAATGAAAAGCTTCGCTCATTTGAGTATCTTCGGCAGGGAAGACATCTTCCTGGTGCATGTGGCTGCCAATGAAGTTCTTGATTGCATCCTGCATCCGCAGATCCATCGAGTTGCAATCTGTCCACGCGCTTTTTTTTTTCTCAGCCTTTGTGAAGTCTGGAGGAACTGCTCAATCCCCCATGGCTCCCCCGGACTGTGCTAGACAGTTGTTGCTGGGATGCTCACCTCCTGCATCCAAGAAACCATCGCGATTGAGATCCATGGCTTCGAACAAGGAGTCTAAATCACTGGGAGCGCCATTTCCTGATCTTTTGGCTGGACCCGGAGGAATCTGCGGGAGGGGAAGCACATTAGCCATGACATCATATATATATATATATATAAACATTTATTTTTATATATATATATATGTATATATAAATATAGCACAAAACAAAATCATATAGAATTATAGAAAATTAACCACGTCATTCCAAGATATTCCGCGAAATCATGCCGGCATTCAGCTCCACCATCTGCAGTGCCCTCCGGTAGACATGACAATCGAAATTCCACTATTTATAGATGATGTTCCTATTAAAACATCCTCTTGGGAATTCACCTAAAGGGTTGAGGTGTCTGATTCTATAGGTACAAAATCAGAACCCCCAAGTTTTTTTTCTATATATATAATCAGGACCCCCAAGAAGAATTCAACTGTACACAATCGAGGCCTCCAAGGTTCAGTTTGTGTGATTTTTTTATGTAAAAAAAGGGTCTACATTCTACACTGGGTAGGCTGGGTTGCTACATAATCAAGACCCCCAAGCCTCACAGTGGAAAAATCGGAACAAGGGCTTGATTTTAGGGTGCATTTTAGCATAGTACAACGATTCAACCCCAAGCCTTGGCTCGAGTCTAGCATAAAATGGAAATCAATATGAAATAAGAACCCCCAACATCATATGCACCAAGCTAGCCTTAATATAAAACGTAGGCCTCCAAGCTCGAGTTTGTCACCCTGAGACCTCTATAGAATCACAACCCTCCCCAGTGGAGCCCAGCCACAGAGGGAAACCCCTGCATAAAATGAACCTGTTTTTGGAGCTCAGCCCCGTTGATTTTATACAGCTATTTCCCAGGGGGATATTAAAACCTTCATTTATAGGTGACTTCCTGGCTAGCCACGTTTGATTACCGGAGTCCTTAACACATGGTACAGCATTTCAGGGTATTTCTCACTAATTGGGAATATAACTTGTCAGTCTTAGGGACACTTGCCACGTTTGGTAATTACGGGGCTTCCAATTTCTAGAAAACCGGATTAGAACTGCATCTATTTCAATATAGAAATGTCACCGCTTCTAGGAATCTGCGAGCGGCCGCAAATCTCCACGTTGTCTTCCAACGAAGAGATCGACAGCTCGCCATAGCCGTGGAGATCTGGGACGCATCGCTGGTCCGTGACCGGTGACCCCAAAAAATGGCTGGGAGGTCCATCCCAAATTGGAGGCGTATGACTTACCCTCTGGTAATTTAACATAGCTATTGAAAATGACCATTTATAGTGGATTTTCCCGTTAAAAATGGTGATTTTCCATGGCTATGTTAGTTTACCAGAGGGTACATCTAATTGGTGGTATACCTACCCCCCTGCAAAAATATTAATTAGTCAGATTGGATCATCATCCCAACTATTGGTGAAAATAAAAAATGTTCCAAACCACCATCCAGTACATGTACCATCTGGCAACTTAAAAGTTCGCCATGGAAAATTTGCCATGAAAGTAGGTGATTTTTCTGTCAAACATTGCCATTTTCCATGGCTATGTCTGATCACCAGAGGGCAACCGGGTAGCCATTGGGAAAACACCTATGAAAACTATGACACACAAACACACGCACACACTTTGGATGATTTTGGGGACTGCAAATCTAAGAAACCACCATTTAGCATAGGAAATCATCTGCAAGCGCATGTCCATTGTGCATTTTCCAAGTACCATGGAAGATGACCAGCAATCCGACCTCAAGTGGTCCCTTTTTTCGGAGGTGATCCAATAGATCTGTTGGTTTTTTCCTTTGAAACTGGGAGGATCTCCGAACTTTGTAAGAATTCACAACTGGAGGAGCTACATCTACGGGGTTTCTTGAAATGGGTCTCCGAAACCATGGATTTCAATACTAAAATTGTATAAAATGGTTCAGTTTTTGGGATGATTTGGGGGACCCCCTTTCCGGGAAACCCCCATACAGTTCCATCATGTTCCATCCGTGACGGGGCATGACCCAGCTATGATCATCAACTCACCAGAGGTGCTGCCCCAGAGTTGGAAAAGTTCTGAATCTCACCAACATAACCCCAGGAAAAATTAGAGTTCGCATCTAATAGTCTGGTTGGTGGTTGACCTACCCCTCTCAAAAATATGAAAGTCAGTTGGGTTGGGATCATTGTTTCCAATACATGGAAAAATAACAAATGTTCCAAACCACCAACCAGTAATAGTTATACACAGTAGATGGCTGTAGCAACGATCCTCAGCTGGGCATGGTCCATCTTCATCTTCCCGTGCTTCGTGCCGCGCCTAGCATCCTGAAGGCTAGGCAGGTGGCTTCCGAAACCTCGCTGACGTGGACCATGATCAACCGTGCCACGCGCTTCCTGGACGACTTCGAGGGGGTTGGAGGAGTTGCTGGGAGAAAAACTCCAACTTGGGCCCCAACACAGGGTAGCTAGATTGAGATCTGTTGGGAAATGGATCTAACAATGGGATAATGTACAGTTTTTTAAGTCAAAGTCACTTTGGGGATGGGAATCAACTTCTTTGCAGGCCAAAAACTTGGAAGCCCTTGCCAACACAAATTTTGGTCACGCAGGTGATTGTTAGGCTCTCAAATCTGCGTTACAATCAATGTAAGCAAGTTGAATAACGAAGGAAATAATACATCAAGTCTCATAGGCTATGGCTATGGGCTTCCCCAGCAGTCCCCCCAAAAACATCAGAATCAATGGGATATGTACAGATAAGCACTGCTCCGGAAATTTGTCGGCTCACACCCGTTTCTCAACACTGTCAAGAAAGCCTTGGAGTTCCTAAACCTCCAAAGCTAACTTCTACCTACATCCTTCCTGCATCTACATCTCCCATCATCTACCCCCAAGAAGCATGAAACACTCGCCTTCACCAACACACCGGCCACTCCAAGAATTAGATGAGAGGACAAACAACAGGCAACCAGGCAACCCGGCCCCATACATGTCCTATTGAAACACCCAATTCAGTTCCAAGGAGCAGCATGGGTTCGGCCATGACACCGCGGACCTTGTGACACCACCCCAATTCCCAACCAGAAATCATGGTGGGTTCCCTAAAAAAAAACCTATGCTAGTGAAAAATCATGACGAAACCCTACATAACACCTGGTTGTTTGGAGAAACCCACCATCATTTGTTTCTGATTGTTTGGGGGTCCAGGGCAGTGTTTAATCACTCATGGTTTTGAGAACGAGGGGATGTAGCGAAATACTGGAGTTTCGCAGGAGTCTGTGCCACATCAATCCACTTTACAACCTCAGCTGTGGATCAACATCAGCCAATTGATCCATCTAGGGAGGTTCATAGGGTCCTTGAACAAGTATCCACCCGGCATTTTTGCGCCAGCTTCATGGATTCACAGCACTTGGAAGCATAGTAGGTTGATCACACATGGAAGCTCCACTTCGTCCAATCTCAAGCCTTACTTTTTGCACCCTTCATGTTGTTTGCCGCTTCCGAATCTGAAAATTACCAAAGTCCACAAGTAACACTTAAAATGCAACAACCCCCATAAACCATGATTTAGTAAGGCATTTATACATACTTGGGACCATCCAAGAGGGGTGATTCATATTGGATGGGACCCATCTTTGAACAGCAGTTGACACGCATTCCTATTTCCGTAAATCCGTAAACTAATTTGACCGAGTATGTAAGTAAATAGGTAAGTTATTACAGTTATACACAACATCTATCTATCTACCTATCTACCTACCTAGCTATCTATCTACCTATCTACCTATCTACCTATCTATCTTATCTTATCTATCCATCCATCCATCCATCCATCTGTCTATCTATCTATGTTTATTTAGATGGATTATATATATATATATTGTATGGACAACTGGCCGAAGTATAGAGGTAGAAGGGCTCCTTGCAGCGCCAAGTGACAAGTTTGGGCAGCATCTGGAGGATCCCCACAGCCTGCAGTCGTTCCACTGCGGGCAGCCTCGGCTGATGCCAGGGCCGAGTTCTCCAATCCCTAGCCTCGAGGCCTCAAGTAAATGAACATATGGAAAATCACCATGTTTAATGGATAAATCCACTATAAATGGCCATGGTAATGACTAACATAACTATAGAAAATCACCATTTTTAAAAGGTAAATCAAGTATAAATGACCATGTTCAATAGCTGTGTCAAATCACCAGAGGGTAAATTGGTAAATATCAAATACATTCAAATACCACCCTATAGATAGTCAGTAGAAACTATGGTTTAATATTGGATCAGACATTGGCGCCGCGGCACGCTTTTTCCAGGTCATAGCCGTCATTGTTGAACTTGTGCTTCAAGGCTTCCTTGATGGTGGGCCGCGCGTGGCGATCGTGCTGCAGCATCTGCATCAACAAATCCAACGCGCTTGGCGACAGAGCGTACCTCGCGGAAGGTTCGGGAAAGGATCAATGTCATAGGGGGGAAGGCCATGCGGAGATGCAAAACATATTGGTCATTCACTAGAATAGACTATTGACCATTGTAAACATATAGGATTAGGTATGTGTGTCCTAAAACTGGAATACGCCCAAAATCATCCACCAATACATGTTTTACTATTGAAGCCCATATTTTTGGGGCACTCCCATCTGGAAAGAACTCATCTTGATGTAACTGTATCGGTACTAAGGCTGCCATATATATATATATATGTCAAAAAACTATAATAATATATATATAATAGATATAATATATAATAATAAACAAATATAATATAAAATAATAACAATAATACTAACATTAATAATAATATTCATATATATATATATAAATATGATATAACATATATATATATATAAATATGATATACACATAAACCTCGGTGAGGCAGTGCAGTAAAGACTGTGGTTCTCTGATGTTTAAGAACCCTTGACGGCCACAAGAATTGTAGAAACAAAACATGTTTTTAAGTTCTAAGATATCTTAGTAACATATGACATGATGATCTGTCTCCTCATGGCTCTTCGATATAGAGTCTATAGGTAAATATATGGGTGCCCCCAAAACTTATTGGTTTCCCTCTCAAAACCCAACAATTTTGGATTTGGGGGTCCCCTCCATCAGTTCAGCCCTAGATTCTCAGCAGCCGCAGCTTCGACGCGGTCTCGCAAGAGATGTCTCACTAAAATCTCACCTGGAGCTGCAGGGATGTCCCCTGCCAGGGACACTTGATGATTTTGATGATTACCCTCTGGAAATTTGACAGTTTGCTATTGAAAATGGCCCATTGAAATAGTTGATTTACCTATATTATATATTAAAAATGGTGATGTTCCATAGCTATGTTAGTTTACCAGAGGGTATGATGGATGTTAGTAAAGCACTAGTAAATTGTCCCCAATTTTACCACGGGTATAAACCATGAACATATGGGTGGTTCATTATTGCTTTACCAACATTATATAGGTATCATGATCAATTATACATGTCAATTTGCACACTGGAGAGTTTCTGAAACGAGACAAATGCAAACCTGGGAATCAAAATCTGATCTGTTTCTCAAGGTAACATCCAATAGTCACAGTCTGACCCCAGCCCGTTTGCCCCCAGCAGGAACAGCAGCCGGACACCAAGATAATGCAAGATACCACTGTTATCATTGGTTTGCTTCGTTGATTTCAAGGGAATTTCCCAGAAAACCCCTCAGTGAACTTTAGTTTGACCATCTCAAGATCTTTTCTGTCGCGCTGTTCATGTGGCTTCCAAACCCTTTCTGGGATTCTTTCCCACAATCACTATTACACTGTTAATCCTTATTATATGTCCTTCATGGTCTTTTGGGGCTAATTAACCACTTTAAAGAAAACACACATTTCAGGTGAAGTTTTTCAGCGCAAAGGACACCTTCTCTCTCTCTCTCTCTCTCCATCGCTGGTGCCCTTTTATTCCTTGTATTGTTCCCCTTCTCCTGCGTTTCCCCATCTTGCTAACATAAAAGGTCACAATTTCTTGGCTACGGCTACAACTCTCCTTGACTTTCGAGTCAGCCCACTCAACAAGCGGGTTATCGCAGCTAACCGTTTTTGCCGAGTCACGTTTCACCGTGGCGGGGGAAATGTCATCCAACAAAGGTGTTCCTGGTGTCACCCATTCGGTTTGGTGGTTTCAACTCATCCCAAAACGCATGAAACAAAACAAAAACTCACTTTGGATATCTTTGGATCATCTAAATCCACTCTCAATTTTTTTTCAAATGAATAACACCATTGTTGGTAGTTATTAGTCATTCGACACTGGCAGGCTCGTGAAAAACCTTACCGTGGAGCAGCAGCTTCGATCTTTGGGGTCGGGTCCCCGCCTGTGAGCATCACAAAGAGCACCACCCCACAGCTCCACACATCACCTAGAGCACATCCGGCAGAGATGGGCGGTCCCCATATCGTGAGTCCTAGTGATGTTTGGGTCTGGTTTTTTGGGGAGTGAGTATTTGCTAATATATCCAAATTTCTTTGATAAGTAGTGCCTGCACCTTGGAGTCTAAGTCAGATTTTGGTTTGGGTCTTAGATCCTATTCTTGGAAGGTGAGAAAATGGACCAACATGGGTTATATAGCATTTACACAGTCAAGAAGTTGGGAAACTTGCAAACAGCACCAAGTTGGCAAGAATTGCACATCTCAATCTCAAACCACAGTGATCAACAGTCTTCATGAAGCACAACAGCTTACATGTTTGCTACCCTTCCAGCGATTTCATCTGACAAGAAAAAAGGTCACCCTACTGGGGCAGGTAATGCTGCAAGGACCTGGTCGTGCCCAAAGCTCATGAATTACCGAAGCTTACTGGGCTTATTGTTGGACTGTTGCCCCCATGTTTTCTCACTGGTTGATCTCAGAAAAACCACGACTAAAGTACTGTAACTGGAAACAATATATGCGCCAATCATCGCCACAAAAAAAAGGAACGACCACGATATATCAGTGCGGCATCCATATTAAATCTGAATATTCCAAAAAACATGTATTCTGGATGAACACCTATCAACATTCTCCACTACCGTCACTACCCTGGGAATCAACATCTCAATGGATGACCCCGCCGCGACGCCCGGCCTTCTGGGCCGTAAATTCCACTCCAAAACTCTGGGGCCATGTAAGCCTGAGAGATACAGAAAAAAAAATCGAGTCGCCAACCTAAATCGAGGCAAATATTTTTGGTTTGTGGCTTTAAAAAACAAAAAACAAAAAAGATGAAGAATTTGCCTTTTTGTGGCTTCAAATATGTTTTCGAGTTTGTGGATGTGTTTGAATTTTGGCTTTAAAAAACAAAAAATATGAAGAATCCAACAATCCAACTGATATGCGGAAAAAATGCGACTTCACATCAAGGCCTTTTTTTTGGGAGCTCCGTTGACTCCAACAAATTTGAGCATGTGACCACTGGACTCAGCAAATCTTGGCTGATGGCCTAGGTAAGTGGCGTTATAACTTAACTAGCTTAAATGTGGTTGATTCTTTATCTATCTATCTATCTATCTTATCTGATCTCATCTTATCTTATCTTATCTACCTATCTACATACATATTTGTATTATGTATACATGGAGTTTGACATGTATGTATATATATACACATGTATAAAGGTATATATATGCATATATATATATATAAACATGTTATATATATATTTATAAACATATAAATATATATAGGTTTATAAACCAACTTCTCCAAACTAAACTCCTATACGGAATAACGAATAGGATAATCACCCGTTTTTCCCCCCATACGGAAACTGCACATGCTCTGCGGCTGTGCGGCAGTTGTTCCGGAGATCCGGTTCTCTCGGTGCATGTCGAAGCAACTGCTCAGGCCCAAATCCACCATCCTGGATGGAAAAGGCTGTTGGTTAAGGCCGTTGGTTTCTCCACAAATCAGTTGTTCGAAAACTCACAGGATGAACTCGAACAGAGATCCGCAACGAGAATGGGAGGAGACTTAGCCATTCTGAATGGTAGGACAATCTCCAGCACAAATGGTAGGGCCAACCTATCATGCCAATCCTGAAGTAGATCTGAAAACAAATCAGGTGGGCCATTCTGCCATGGACTAGCTCCCAGAAACACAGTATCCAGTATCCTGGCCATAAAACCGCATGGATGCCTATTTATGCACACACAAAGTGAATAGAGAATAAATCTATAGTTGTATCGTAGCTTAGCTACAAGATATTTAAATCGATCAGAACTGGATTGTGCGTCCTCAAATGGATTCAAATGGTAATTAGATATCAAGGAGAAATAACCCATTATTGAGGGATCTTGTTTGGCATTGGCACGACCCGCACGCCAGGAGAATGCTGATGAAGTGGCCCATGTGGGGTGAGGTTGCTATGAATCTATTAGGGGGCAGGATTAGACAATACATTCACCACTATGTTTCGAGTGTGTTCCTTTTTTTTATCCTTGTTCTAACGTTTCGGCCAAACAACAGAGAGCAAATGGACACAACTAAGCAGCACCTTCTGGCAAACAAGTCAGGCAATGGAAAATCCTTGTAGGATCTCTGATTCTTTAGTCAGGTGATATTCAGTTTACTGGGCCGGGCTTTTTTTTTCTCAGCTCAAGCTACTGGAGGAGTAGCGCCCCCTCATCCACCGGGGACCACCAGCCAAGTGTCTTTAAGTTCGCATGAGCGAGGTCACCATTGGTCTCTCCTGGGATCAGCGCCCATGACCTTCTGAAAAAGGGGTGAGAAACGCATGGACAGCCAACATTAAGCAATCTCTGGTTGGTGGTTGACCTACCCCTCTGAAAAATATGAAAGTCAGTTGGGATTACTATTCCCAATATATGGAAAAATGTTGCAAACCACCAACCAGTTAAGCAATCTATATGTCCTATTGCTTTGATTGGAGGGTTGCACTGCCAACTTACTCGGCAGAAACCACCATCTTGATCAGTGAGTCATCACACCCACAAGACCCTACCCTGCAGCCCAGTCGCGTTTGAACATGAAGTTTTCGGGCTTAATATCCTCAAAGCTGGGGCAAAACCCAAGTTTTACGGGCAAAACCCCAGCGGGAAGAAACTTCAGTGAATGAACCATTGGTTCCGGATGATGGGGCAGCACTTCTGGAACAACTGCCGTGCCAAGCTGCATAATGCCCTCTGTACCTGAGAAGTGCGCAGGGAACGGGGAAACGTGGCCCGAAAACGTGCAAGCCCCAAAATCTGCCATGTCAACATTACCCAAAACATCCTAAAACATCCAAAAACATTTGGCACAGCGTAAATATATTGTCGGTCAATGCATTTCCTTCGGAGCCATCCTTGATCCACTAGAATTCCAACATAATTAACATGTTTTCAAATATTATGTTGTCAAAGTAGGTCAAAGTATGTCAAAGTATGTGGCTGCTGGTGAAGCAACATAGCCACGGGAAACCCTATTTGCATTTGGCAAATCAGGCACAAACAAATACAAATAGATCTTCAGCACACTTATGGTTTCCTAGGATTCATAGAGGGTACTTTTATCATCTTTTATCATTGTAAGTGAACTGGAGATCGCCCGTGTGAGAGAATTCTGCGGCAGATCGCCTTCATGACCATGCTGGATACCCAAAGTGGGGCCACGTGGCCCCGTAGTTAGCTAAGTTGCTTTGTAACTCCGGTAACTAGGCTTTCTGGATCTATCCGATAGAAATATGCTTGTATATATATATAAATAACTATAGTTGGACTGATTTAAACATCAACTTGACATAGAGGGGCTAGCCTCTACCTTGTCCCGTCCATATTCAGTTGGGAAATCTATGGCCTTCACTCCAAGTAGCTGGGCGTGACAGCACTGCAATGCCTGAGAGCGGGTACCCACGTGGTTTATCACGTGAAAATAAGCCCGGGCAAAAAAATGCAATTTTGAGGATTTGGGGCATTTTGGGGCATCTCCCATTTTTTGAACGCCAATATATATATATATATATACACACACATATATATATATATACATATCGCAAAATCCCTTGAAATTAAGGCTGTGAAGACGGCCCGGTGGCCTTGAGCATGTGCCGCAACACCACTGAGGCTTCCAGTGGGTTCAACCTGTGCAGTGGACGCTGGCCCGGAGTAGAGTGAGTTTGTCCCTCAAAAACCATGGTGTATAGCTACCATAGCAACCCCCAAAAAGATAGAAAAGTCAAGTCCTGCTCAAATAGTGAGATATCCATGAACTCCATCTTTTTGGGGTCTTCTATACTTGTAAGACAAATTCATCACCGTTCTCTGTCTTGTACTTGCGGCACTTGTGCGCCACGAAGTGGTCCCATGCAATTTCGCTGCTTGAGTCAGCCTTCATCGGCACAGAAATATTAAGGTTGCGCAATTTGAAGACTTTCACAAGGTGAACTAGTCATTGGGTTCTTGGGGTCCTTCGGGGTCCTTGGGGGTCCTTGGGGTTCTTGGGGGTCCCACTTGCCAGCGGCGCTCGCCTTCCGGTCTGGGACCTTCGGATGGTCTCCAACAAATCCAGACCCTCACAAAGTTCAAACACCAAGTAGAGATAGTCCTGGCAAATCGCGAGCTTCACCAATCATGAGTGGTACAGCCATTCTATCTTGTTTGAGTTTTGCTAAGCAAGAACCTTGGGTTTTTCTGAAAGGTTGCGACCCAAGCTTGCATCCTTTTAGTCCATGAGAGCTATGTCCAACTGCAGAGCTCCTTGTATGTTTTCTATCATCATCACTTTGCAAGGGGCTTCAGCATTTTATCCATTATTATCATTATTCAAGAACCAGAATATCAAAAAAGGACAACAAACGTAACAAAACAATACCCTTGGCCCTCTCGTTGATTCGTTGATTTCCCCAGCAGGAACCCCAGCTGCGCTCCTCTTCGTCATAATACTCTAAAAGCTTCACCTTGTGCTGCAACATGATGGCGAATCCCATATGCCCATTATGCCCATTATGCCCCCCAATGACTTGAGATGAAACGAAATGCTAAATGTCACATCTCAGCAAACAACGAAATAATGTCTGGATGTTTCGCTGATAGCCAATGACCTCCAGCTATCTGGCAGCAGGTTGATTTCAAGAACTTCTTGCAGGAAAGCATAAGTAAGCCACACGTGGAATTATGCGGCATTCTTTTCAGTGAACCAAGCGTGGAACACATGGTCATGGGAACAAACCAAAATAACCCGATATATATATATACACATATAAATATGTATATTATTATATATATATATTATATATATATACACGTATAATTTGTTCCTCATTGAAGCAGGAGAAACCTCTAATTTCTAGACCATTTCCTCATGTTTAATACCCTCAACACGGCACTGCAAAAATGATGCACCATCCAGCAACTGGAGGAGTGGACATTCCCGTGCCCCGGACCACTATCTTCACCAGCTTTATGGTACATAAAGAACAACTGCTGCTCACATTGATGTCGTTTTTGTATCTTTTTGCTCACTGGCGAAGCCAGCTAGGTTCTGACACAAACAGGCTTGACGGCCTAACCACCATAGCAATCCTCCGTGGCACATGCATCAAAACGACCCCTGATTTTGTCCAGAAATGGCACAGATTGGCTGACATCGTTGATGATCTCGATCAGTTAGGCCCTTACCGATCATCCAAGACGTTCTAATCCTGGTCTTCCTTGGTAAACATCCTATGGTGTTGGTCGCTACCCCATGGTATCCATTGGTATCCCATGGTTTTCTTCGTTGCTCGTTGAAAGCCGGGGCGCAATATGCGGATGATCCAATCCCAACAGAGCGTTCAGCTCGTTCTTGTGGAGCTCTTGTCTGCCCGGCACCTGCACCAGTCCGGAGGCTCCTGAGGAATCAAATCCTGTTTAACGGGTAGGATGATCAATGACACCCGTGATAAAGATACAAACATAATCAAATCTGTCTAGAGTCTAGTATTTTTTAGTTACATAAATGCTATTTTGTGATTTTTGGGCAAGAATTGAGCCTACATGACACTCAATGACTTCAACAAGCCCTGGCAGATTCTTTTGAACCTCTGAACCTGAGAAACTTCAAGACACCAACAGGGGAGGATCGATAAAGTCCAGGACCTTTAGTTATCATTCTGCCAGCTTCCTGCACGGAAATCACATGAGGATCCGCAGTGTCCAAGAACCACAGAACGGAATGACCAGAAATGACTAGAACTTACTAAGAGATACGAGATTATCCGATGCATTTTACAAAAACAGATAAGCCACGCGTGAATCTCGTTATTAACCGACCTTCATTCATCATTGTTAACCATTATACGTATCATTACAAACCATTGTTAACCACGCCACGAGAAATCCATAAGGGAGCACCTTGCGTAGCCGCTTCACGGCGCGCATGATGCCGGTGATTCGGTGGGTCGCAGCCTCGATATCGGCAGGGCTGCCATGTCACTGATATCCAGAAGGAACAAACAAATATCTGGTTGGTGGTTGACCTACCCATCTGAAAAAGATGAGTCAATGGGAAGGATTATCCCATATATTATGGAAAATAATGAGATGTGGGTTAAAAATGGAAGACCATTAATGGGACCACAGATGTTATATAGTCTAGTTTAGTATTAACCATCCAATGGTTGGGGTACCTAATTTTGACCCATACCCAAATATATACACGAAACCAATGGAAACACGAAACGGCAATCTGAAAATCGAAGGTCTTCCGAAGAAAAACTTTCTGTTTAAACCAATTTCTGAGTTCCCTTCTACTGATTGACTTTGCATGGATTTCGACGGGTTAGAGTTGTATTATGCTGTATTCACATCAAGCTGGGCTTGGAACCTGGAGAATCACCATGAAAAAACATGCCGTTCCCAAGCTTAAAACATACACTTTTCCCAATGATTGTGAGGCGAGGACACATCATTCTCAGACTGGTTTCTTCGGGCAAACATTGAAAAACACCTCCCATATTCAAGGATGAAAACGGTGGAATTCTGATGATTTCGCCATATTTGTAAACCCAATAAAATCATCATACATGGATAAATGGGTCGTACAAACCATCTCAGATGGAAGGTTAATTATTGGGTTTACCACATTCATATTTTAGCCTGAAGTCAATCTGCGTCAATCCCCTTGGAACTCCGAAACCATCCTGGCTGATCCAGGCCGAGAGGCGAAGACTTTTCCAAAACCACCTTCACCAATCTTGTGCACGACCTGCGACGCCCCGAAGCAACCAGGGTCCATTGATTCAATTTGATTTATCTCTGAAGGTCTCTGAAAGTTTGTGCAAGCTATTTGGCGCTGAAATTACTTGGAGGTTTTTTCGAAGTCATTGGGGTACCCCCAAATCATCCAAGTCATTGAACTATTTTAGTATTGAAACCCTGTTGGTGACTTGTGTATCCCCATGATTTCACAAAGTCCCACTTGAGGATAAACCCAACAACATTCCAACAACGACCAGTTGTTGAGTGTCCATGTGGCTGTTTTTTCCCACACGTGCCACCAAGTTGCAGAGTATGTCGATGCAAAAGACTCACCACTGTGATGGAAGAGCCTCAAGTTTCGGGGAAGCACAACTCACATGCTATCCACTGAAGTCACTTTCATCGAAATGTGAATATGCATGGATCACCTTGGGTTCTCGCCTCGCCTACCAGTCAGATCCAGCCACGGATCATCACAGTCTTGTTGTACCAGATATGCATTGACTCAGTATCTGCGGGTGGTAAATTAAATATATATATATATATAAACCTCAAACCTTCCCAAACGGTATATTGACGGTACATCAAGGGAAACTATCTTAGAATTTCCAGGCTCCGGCCCCCCTTCCCTGTCCATATCTGTCCATATCTCGCCATGCCAAGTGGCAAAAAGTCGCCGCAGCGAGCTCCTTCCTTGATCAAAGATTCTCCTCGGCCAGCATGGCAATAAACTTGGCCTGGAAATGAAGATCCGCCATGTATAGACATAGATGATGTTCCCATTGAAACCTCATTGAAACTTCCATTATAGGGTATTTTTTATTGCCATGTGATTGTAGTTTGTCGTTTACTTTGGAACTGCTAACAAATGACTATTATCGGTGTTCCAAATATCGCAAGAACCATGTCTGAAAGGGCCCACCCTTTAGCATAGCTGATCGTCGATATCCTGCCAATAAAACATTTTTCAGCTGGTTTGTATAACTCCCATCTCTGGCCAAGGAATCTGACAGGCAACCTACTCAACCAAGCAACTCTCAGGACTGGTGAACCCCAGCTCTCCCAGTTGTTCCCAATCCTTGGTCAGGCGGGTCATTGTTTAGGTGGAACACCACCATCTTGTCACCCTTTTCAATCCTTATGTTGGTAATGATAATGCTGATGATGCTGCTGCTGATGATAATGATAATGATGACGTTGATGATGACGGTGGTGATGAGGGATTGCGGAACCTACACTCTGACAATCGGACATAGCACATTGGAAAAGTGCCATCTGGAACACAAATTAAAGCTGTCGCAAAGACTGTCCAATCGCCAGAATTGTCCAGAAAAGGAAACATATTTTGAGCATACGCATATGCAACAACATATTTATTCTTAATATTGTGATTATATAATCATTTAATGTATATTATGATAAATTTTATGTGCATATGTATATATATATATAAATACATATATATATACATATATATATATACATATACATAATATATATATATATATATATCCTTGCACAACCGGGAGCGAGAACTGCATGATGGTCAAGGAGCAAAATACCCCAGCAACGATGCGCGACCTCGTGTTTGACGTGTCGTGAGGGGCAGCCCTGAAGCCAGTTGATAAAAGATTACATCCTAGTCTATATATAATTACCTATCTTTCTATCTATTTTCTATTTTCTTTCCATCTAATTCATATGTAATTCGATCTCATTATATATATATTACTCTCTCTCTCTCTCTCTTTATCGCCATCTATATAATTCTATCAATGTTTCCTTATTTCTTCCTTTGTTTGTTTCTGGTTTCTGATCTTTCAATTTTCTGAACCCAATTGTCCGTCTGTTTTTCTATCTATCTGTCCACCTACAAGTAGATGTGAAAACAACGTGAATAGTCTATGTAAATAGGCAATGAACAGCTGATACGAACTGTAAGGCGTTTACCTATCGATGAACATATTCTTATCATCCTCATGCGGCCTCAAAACACTCCAAGAGCCAACTGAGGTGCGACTGTCGCCACAATCAAACACAGATATGTCTTGGGCGACTGTTGGGTTAACAGGTGTTGAATGATTTGGCCCTGCAATAATGTGATAATCCCCACTATGTCAGGGCTGCTACCCCAAATACAAGGATGGGACATGCACAAAGTGTAGAGGTAACATAACCTATTTCCCAGCCTTGTGGTGACTATCTGCCTACAATAGGTTGGAACAACTCCGTGTATTTCTCTCTCTCCATCGCCATCTCCGTGTATTGGTTAGTATAATTAACTTCCTCTTACCATCAACCATCATTTGTCAATGAAACATCACCATATATATGATGGCCAAAACCATGAAATAGATGAAGGTTAACACTGGTTAATACCCCATTGAATAACTAATCAACCCGGGTTTTGGTGAGCTTCCCGGTCCAAACCACACCTGCAACAGCATGTGCGTTTCGATCCACCGCCGCTTTCGGCAGCAAAAGCATGGCACAGCTCTGATGCTTTGGTTCTGCTGGGTGCTGTGGGAATGGGTTCTGTTGTGGTTGAGCCATTGAGCCACAAGGACCCCAAAATTGGGCTAGGGGGCTAGTAACAAAACCAATGACACGAATGACACCAATGCTTCATTTCATGAAATAGGCCTTAAAGAAACCTACATGTGTCGGAAGCTGTTGGATCTTCAGAGGCCTTTAGCCTCCAGCTTTCGAAGTTTGATCTGTCAAGGCCCCTGTCTCTACCTCTAATTTGGTGCCTCGAGGTGCCCTATATATGGTACCATATATATATATATATACCCAGCTTAACATCTGCGTTGGCCAACCTACTTCCCAACCATCTACTCAGTCACCTTATGGTTCATTGAAATCCCTTCATCCCTGGCATCTGTGGTGCTTCCATTGTCATTTCCTACCTCAACCTTGTCCACGTTGGGGAGCCATTATTGGGCCAAAAGAGAGTGGGAGTTGCAGCATGATGCCAAGGAAGAAAACGCAAAGCTTTCAAAACGCAAAGACTCTGCATTACAGTGATATCCTACTAGCTTCAACTAATATCTCCACCGCGTAAGTTTTATACATGTTCGTGTTCCACGATGTGCCAAGAATTGGTCGCTTTATGTTGGTCTCGGTTCTCTTGTTTATGTTGGTCTCGGTTCTCTTGGCATTTGCTTTAGATGCTTTTCAACTTTGTGTTATTGGAGGTGAAATGCCACTTGACTGTGTATCCCTTTTCTTTGGTGGGTTGCACTTTCTAGATAAACAGATATCTATATACATATGTATATATATATGTATATATATATATATGTATATCTGAATATTTAAATACACACATATATGTATGTGATATGTAATTACATAATGTCTCACCTTTTGCTGCAAGTGCCCCCCCTTGAATCATCCGTCGTGAGTTGGGCCAATGTTTCCATCGATCCATTCTGGGGTTTTATTCGATGGTAGGAGCTTTTATCCAACAAGTAGCATGGCACATATTTGGCCACTATTCAAAACCTTGAAACATGTCATCTTCAACATTCTGAAGCATTTTCTCCACAATAATGGCCCAATTTTTATTGGCCTAAAATAAATCCCTTTGCCGCCATGCGCTGCCGATTTTTCTCACATCATGTTGTCTTGGGACAGGCTGTCTCCGCCTTCACCTCGGGTCCACATCATGGCGCGTGCTGCGCTGATCGCTGCGCCAATCCTTAAGGAACCAGCTAAAGCTCCCCTTTCTCCTTCTCAATTAGCCGAGTATAAGCGCTTTTCTCCCCCTTCTTGTTGAAGTCCTGGTGCACCGTGGGATCTTGTTTTCGAACTCGAAAAACACAACATGGTCGATTTCTTTGGATTTGTTTCGTGTTTTTTGTTACTCTCTCTCTCTCTCTTTTTTATATATGTATCTATATCTTATATATATATTTATTTATTTATTAATTTATTAACTTATTGTTCACAGATTATGGATTCAACTGTCAACTTTTTCAATCTTTTTCATGGGCGTGAAATGACATTGGACCCTGATAGTGACCTCCCACGCGGATCCCTGAAAGATCGGCGCCCACAGCCGATGAGGATCGATGAGGATCATAGGGCACTGCTTGGTGACTAGGTATTCCTATCTCTATGAAGGGTTGTACATGGTAGTGATAGAGATAGAATAGTTATACTGTTATACTGCAATGTTATACAATACCCATATGTTATGTATACCATTATTATCTCTATCTCTATGTTATAGTGTTTAATACTACAACACTGCAAATGTAATATAGATAATTATACTTTACAATACTAGAAATGTAATACTACCCCAAAGAAAATGACTTGTAATGACCATTTCCATGGGTGACCCACCCAAGAATAAGGGTTTATTTAGGGCGATTAGCTCGGACTAGCTGCTTTACTAACCCCGACAACATCCTCTGGTAATCTAGCATAGCAACTATGGAACTTGGCACATTTGTTCATGATTTCCATATGCAAAAAAGAGGGTGCTTTTCCATAGCTCTCTATCTCATAAGATGATTTCCGCCATCCTCAACGCATCTTTTTTGGTCCAACTTCAGCTAGATCCCCATGGATCCCCCAGAAAAACGTCCTCAATCTGCGCGAAGTTCCTTCGCTTCGAGATCAGCTTATGTAAGGCGGGAGGGTACTGACCAACACCTCGGAAACAAACTGAGGAGGGGAGTTTATCAACCTCGGATCTGGTGGGGATGACACACACACAAATAAATGGATAAATGATTAAGTAAATAAATGCAGACATGAATACATAAATATGTGGTCAGATTGTCAATATGAATTATATATATATAATTATGTATATACACGTGATATACGAGTAGTTTCTGTATACTGCAATCCATACGTATGTATATGTATATTATTTTATGTAAATCAAATGAAAATCTCATGGAGATAGTATGGGGGCACATAGGGATATGTGGTGGATATCATGGGATAATATCATCTCCCATGGAATGGGGATATACCAAACAATTTAATAATTTGGTGATGCGTAGTTGCGTCTCAAAACTATGTAGAATTTATTGCGCAGATCTTGGGCACTTGGGCAGTGGAGTGAGCCAAATAATTTTAATAGAAAAGGGATGAACAAGGCTGAAAAAGGTATAGAATAAGAGATATGTTATGTAGGAAGCCCATCCAATTTGGAGGATATGCCCCTTCTTGGCAACTTATGCGATGTTTTGAGCCATGGAAACTAAGTCAAAAATGGACCTGGGATATCCTGGGATAAAGGTCAGTGCCATGTGCTGCCATGTAGCAGTACCAGCTGCCCGGCGCGTCGCAAATGCGATTCTTGGGATCTGCGATCCACTGCTTGCTCTCCTGCGAGACATTCTGCACCTCGTAGATACGCCTCAGATTGGGGGAGGGATATGGAGGGATAAAGGAGTTCATCGTAGTTCATCAGATTGAGTGGGCTTATGATTTAGCATGAACTGGGGTAGTCAAGTAGTCAACCGATTTTGCTCAGAAATGGGTGGGACAAGTTTGGAGTGTGGTTTCCCTGTTGTGAGAGGAGGATGGCCAGTAGCCATCGACAGCCATCGATAGCCTGATTAGCCTGTGAGACTAGCAACAGGAGGCCATGTTTGGTCGTGTGCACGTGCTTGAACAGCTTCCTCAGCGGAGCCCATGGAGCTTTTTGGGGACGCACGACTTGGAAATCTAGCAAACAAAAACAGAGAGATCACAAATCCGATGCATGGCCAAGTGATGCCAAGTGATGCCAAGTGATAGCCTGTAGTCATACCACACTGCAGCTCTGAACATGATTGAACTGAAATGCCTTCAAAAAAGAGGGAAAACAACTGGAGTTGACACATGGCAGCTGAGTTCATGTCAAGGAAAGCCGCTGCCTAGGGACTCGTTGACCCGAACGCCCTCCTTGTTGTTGTGCTCCACCAGTTTGTACAACAACGACTTCTCCATCATCGGGGTGGGCACTTTGTTGGCATAGAAACCTTGGTTCTCCAAAGGGCCAGAGGATCATACCCATGGCATCCCATGGCTGTGTGGGGAAACATGGTGGAAAACCCTATGATTTGGGGGGCGGGTTGGAGCAAGCGACATTGACATGAGGGAACAACCAGCCATGAGGCTTCAGAGTGCACTAAATTAGGGCAGTGATTCTATTTGTCATGCCATGTCAGGCTGTCAGGCGTACCAAAATTCAGACCCAAATCTCAGTGCAAAATCCGCGAATCTAAGCTGCGCACCAAACTTCATGCATTTGGGATCATCGTCTCCGCAGTGATCAGGGAAGACCGAATTTCCAATCCTGGCGGTGGGAAGTGCACCCCACCTGGGCCTTGGATCATCTTGGACCCGGTCCAGCATCCGCCTTGCCAAATGAGGAGATTTGCCCAGATCATCTCGCCTGAGGTGGAAGTCTGGGAGAGTTCGAAAAAGCTGGCGACTTCGCCTTGCCAAATCAACATCTTGTGACGTCAGATAGGAATCCCACCATGAGACGCCTACTTGGAGCATCCCGGTGCCCAAAAAAAGAGGTGTGGTTTCCAGGCCGCCATGACACACCAAATCGATGAAGATTCGCCTTTCTCAAAGTTGGCTCTTGGTGGTTCATAAACCATATGTTCCTTAGGACTATAGTTAGTATCCCCATGCTCTTAGTTAAATCAGTTGAATCCCCATTTTTCATGGCTTTTAAGCCAACATTTCCGGTCAAAAAGCGACCAGTCGTCAGACCTAGTCACTGGCCGCCGCCCCAAACCAGAACATAGTCTGCCAGGTGTTTAATGGCATTGTGAGCCCTTTTCACCTGGATCTGTTGAAACCCAGGCCCCAGGCCCGTGCTAATCCTGCAGAGTGAGGGGTCAAATATATACTTTGTATATATATATATAAAATCTATATTATACATATATATATATATGTAAATTATATATATATATAAATATTAATATATATAATTTACATATATATATATATATATATGGCAATCAAGAGGGCAATAAGCACGACAGTACTTTTATTTTGTTTGATAGGTTTCACCTTGTGGGTGGCTCCCAAGAACAATTTCGGCAATGAAATTGTCAAAGGCATCATTTTTATTCATTTTTGGGTTTGGTTTGCCTTTATTATTGTGGGAAGGGATCGAGGAACATGTCCTGGCCAATGGGTGCCCGAAAAGCTGAGGTCCGAAGCACTTTGATTGGAATGAACTGTAATCTCTTTATATCTCTCCAGTCGTTGTGAGCATCGGTTGTGAAGTTTCCAGTTTGCATTGGAAATGGAAATAATATGAGAGAGTCACAGTATGTATAACATGAAGCCTATGAGGTTCTCAGAGCTAGGAATATGTATGACGTATTTCTCATACAGCACGGTCATCACAACAACTTTGAAGCGAGAAACATCGCTAGTCAAAGTTCGTCCGAGGGTTGCAATGTGCTCGTGGTTCCAAGTATTGCCATCTGCAATGGATGTCCTGGTCAAGCCCCACCCAGTGCTGCAGCATAAAGATCAGGGTCCGACGTTCATCATGGGAGCTGAAATGAGCTGAACAGAAGTTAGTCAGTTAGTCCTTCAAGTGCTCAAGAACTCTACATATATTTGGCCTGGCTTCCCTAAGCCCTTGGCTGGGTGTTTAAATGTTGTTGGCATGTCTCTGCTTTGGTATCCACGTGTAGCATTTCAACGACTTATGTGCCATTGTGGATCAAATGCTATGAGAACCCCAAGTGATCAACTCTGCTGAAACTAGGTGATTGAAAAATCTGGTCCAAGACGAGACAGGACAGTTAAAGGATGTTACCCTCTGGTAAACTAACGTAACTATGGAAAATCACAATTTTTAGTGGGTAAATCAACTATAAATGACAATTTTCAATAGCTATGTTAGTTTACCAGAGGGTAAAGGAAGGAAAGAAACACGGGGAAGCACAACAAAAAGACTGCCCCAGGGCGAAGTCGGCGCCACGTCATCACATTGCCTGACCCTGGTGGCTAGGCAAAGTCAACAATAAACCGCTCCCAAAGTTGACTAATGGATGGTATGAATCATCCCACATTGCATTTTCATGGGGCCAAAACAAATTCAATGAATGTAAGTTGTAACTCCCCAACTGCCTGCGGGAATCTGGTAGATTATCTAAGGCACTTCCAGCCACCATCTACCAACGTCAAGACCGTGGTCCCCAGCGCCCAAGACCGTCCTGTTTGCAATACCGGTGATCTGGTAACCTGAAGTTGGTAAGCCGTGGCAGCTGGCTGCTATTGCCCAATAACCTTTGCCCAATAATAGAAACACAAAGGATGAGATGAAAATGAACATAAATAAATCAATACATCATTTGGAATACGTTCTCCCTAGCATATGTATATATATATATACACGTTATTTGCAGATTTCGAATCAGTTCCAGGTTTCACCACTACGAACTTTTCAGGTTCAGTGACCGATTCAAACACCATCGGAAAATCATCCTGCAGGGCCTAAACACATCCTGACCACCTTCGTGTAGATGCTAGATTTCTCTGCACTTATAACCTTGTAATGTTTTTATATATATATATAAGGTATGTTTGTAATTGTTTGTATAGACCTCAAGGCTGCAAGCATTGACCATCAGCTAAACCACATGCTGGGGTTATAGTTCACACATCAATCACCGAATCGCTGACCGTGGCTGAAAAAACTCATGCTCATCCAATGAGGCACCAACAAAAACATGCCATAAGTCGTTCAACCGGGGTCACCCCTCAAATTTGGTTTTAAGCCAGTATATCATAATATCTATCTATCTGTCTGTTTGTCTGTCTATCTATCTGTCTGTCTGTCTGTCTGTCTATCTATCTGTCTATCTATCTATCTATCTAAAAGATAACATATATTTGCATGAGCATCTTTAGATATCAACTATGTACATCATGTGCATGTATCAATTCTTACCAGTATATATATATATATAAACATGATATATATATATATATAAACATGATATATATATATATATACACATGATATATATATATATATACATGATATATATATATGATATATATATGTATACATATTGTATATATATTGTATATATATATATATACATATTGTATATATATAGATATTGTATATGAGATATCATGTGCATATCATTTCGTATCATCATTTCGTCAGGTCACGATTTTTTACGACGCCAAGTCACCATAGTCCCACCAGGCCATGACCCTTGCATCCTCCGGTGTGTTCTGCCTCGAGTCCAGCGATGCAAAACATAGAGCGACAGGATGGGAACCATAGTTAATCAATGGGAATTTCAGGACCCTAAAATGGAGGTACTGAAGGCAATATTTTCTGGGGATATTCCCTTACATAGGCCTTACATAGGCCTTACAAATGGTAGGTACCTCCAATTTAGGTTCCTGAAATGGCCATTGAGTTAACTATGGTTTATGGTAGATATAACTAGTATGGTTTATAAACCATTGTAGCCCCCATGAACTAGTTCGTTATAACTACGAACTACCTATAGTTAAGCCACTTTTTTCAGGCAACTTAGCTATCTTGGGGGCCCATCCTGTACCATTTATGTTGCTTAGAAGCTGGTTAGGTAATGCATCCAAAAATGCCTTTAATGACATGGAATATCACATTCATATACAATAAGTGGGAGATCTCACCAACTGAATGTACCTGAACGCTATTTTTGGGTGCGTCTGGATATGGGGCATACCGTACCCCAAACAGCTCTTTCGATAAGAAATATGATGATCAGCCATCAGATTCGGAGGTACCCCATTTTCAGACAAACCTGCACGGAGATGATGATTCATGATAACTTCTGTGGATATATATGTGGATGCCCCAATCTTTTACATAGTAAACAAATCACTACAGTAAACCAAATAAAAATCATATACACACGTTTCTTCTGAGGATAACCATGCATATTACAGTGCCATCAATGTGAAATAAAGATAAATAAAGTGTGTGTATTTCTACTTCTCAAAGAAGTCCCCTGAGCTCTGAATGCATGATTGGGCGGAAACAACTGTGGATGACGTCCCAGGAATCAACATGGAGTGTTTAACATGGAGTGTTAGGCCCCAAAATATCGGGTTTCAGGTTCCCCTCATCCCTCCAGGGCACATGTAAGGCTACTTGGCACCCTGTTTGAAAGTAAAGAAAGATATTTAGGCCGATACACTTGTCTTCATTTCTTGCCCGAATTCTGCTTCTCACTACCACGTCATGAAATGAAGTGAACACAAAGTGTAGTGTACAAGGTCGCCTCAAGTAATCCAGCTGGTGGCACCACTGAAATCACCCAGCGGTGTTTAAAGTCCGTTGGATTTCGCGCCCAATCAACTCACCACATTCAGTCGGGCTTCTGTGAAGACCCTGGCTTGTGCTCCCATCCACAGTGGCGGGCCCCTGCAATACTGACTACAGACCATCTATGTCAGAATCTATTTGTATTGTGTATTGTACATGGGATAGTTGATAGTTAGAACAACTAGACATGTACAGTATTTAAAATCATTTCAACATGCCCCAACTTTTTTGTCCACCAGTTGGGGTGAACAATTTCTCGCTGGTCCAAGGAGCTCAAGCCATTTGTAGCCTTTGTAGTAGTCATCCACGATGTAATTACTACCATCCTGCAGCGTTGTAACATGGGAAGGCCCATGAGGATGGTGTGATATATGGCGATGATATCTGTATTCTGATGGTGAGAATGATGATGATCATGGTGATGATGATGATGAGGAGGAGGATGAGGATTTTGGCAATAAATGGAGGTTGACAGAAGAAAGCACACATCCTTCTTGACCCGAGGGTTTCTCCCATCCAGAAATCTAGATTGAAACGGATTCACGGCTACCGTAAGTCTATTTGTCTATTTTGGTCTGCTTCTTAAATAGATGCCAGCAACATTGCAAACGACCGACTTCATATCCGGTAGATATGGATGAGCGACCCAAACCACAGGACAATAAGCACCACATAAATTTCGCAGTATTGTTTCGGTATACTGTTTGAAGCCGCACAAAAACCTCCTCTATTTGGATGCGGGCGCATGAGTATGTCCCAAGAGTTGAACCCAACCAAAAATAGCATGGAAATGCATGGCATGTTCATGGATGGCCTACTCCACCAGTGGAAGCCGATGTTGTTGGGGTCCTTTCCTCCATGTTTTTTTGTCAAGTTGGTGGCTTCAGCCCGCACCTCTGACAACAAACTCTTGTGTGGCAAGGCCATAAGTGGATGTTCATCCCATTTCATCCCTCTCAAATCTGGTGCTTTTGCAGGATTTAGATCCGGTCCCCCAGTGGAATGAGCGGCATCCGAGCATCCCGTTGTCTGACAGCGTACATCACCGTGGGGCTGGCCACACCTTCACCGATGGACTTGCAGTGAGCGATGTATTTGGGCACTTCGCTGCGCAACTCGCCTGCAGAGTCGGGCCATCCCATGGGCACAGAGATCAGGTGAGATAACTGGGGGGCAATCAAGTTGGCCATGCCTGGTGCATGTGATATTGGTGGAGAAAACAGGGCAATGGATATTTCGATGATCTATGGCAGCTGACCCCTCAAGATCAAAACTCCAAAATCACCTTGAAAATGTCATTTCTGAGTGAACATGTACATAGTTTTGGGATGTTTTGGGTAGGGCCATTTCTGGTTCCTTCATGTTCCTTCTCCTCAAATGTCATCACAACTGTTACTGAACGCTACATCATCTCTTTTTTAATGAGTTTCCATCAGTGCCACTGGTGGTGCCAAAACTTGACTTTCGACTACCAGAAGCGGTGGTGTCCAAGGTCCAAGGTGCTGAAGTTCAGCATATAAATCACAAAGGCCTTGGGCTGATGAGTGGATGGGCCTTCGTGTTTGTGACAAGTTCATGACAGGTCTGACAGAATGCTAGGCGAAATGAGGAATAGTTATTTAAGCAACTTGGAAGGAATTGGAAACAGAAGCAGTCACGCACTACATCGTGTTGCAGGCTTTCCACGTGGTGAGACCCACAGCTGAGGCAACATCTTGCTGGAGCAACTAGTCTTCGGCACGGCCTCTTATGGAGATTTTCATGCATTTCTTCCATCAGATCACTTTGCTGGCTGCTTACCACTACTTCGCCACCACTGATGAGTGACTCCCCACAGCGAAATGAGACGCATATGGACGCATTTGAAGCCCATATTCCCAGGATTTTCTGGCTTCCAGTTACTGCTCCAGTCAAGCATCCACCGAGAACAAGGCCCGCAGCAAGACCACTGGCAGCCATGAATCCTGAGATCAAAACGGACACCTGACTACCTATTTGAGAGGTATCTGGAAGCCGAGGGATACAGTATATTTTGTGTTTCCCATCTTTTGTAACAGTCGGTAAATTAAGTTTCTTGCTAAACACCCACCCAAAAGTATGTATATATATATATCTATCTATGGGTAAATGATAATAATTCAATTACTGAATTAAGGCCATTTTGGGATGATTCTCCTTATTAATTAACCATGATTCCAGTGAGGTCGCAGTGAGGTCGTTATAATTTGCCCATATTCCATATCCATATATATATATACACACTATAGTTGATTGCAGTCACTGTGCCTGGCCATGAAGAGGAGCTGAGATGGAAACTCTCCAAGCTCCGAGCCAACCGAGCCAACATCTATATAGCAAAGGTGACCTGAAGCCAATACTCACTTGTTATGACTAACACAGCCATGGGAAATCACCATTTGTAATAGGTAAACCATCTATAAATGGGCCATGTTCCATGGCTATGTTAAATAACCAGAGGGTAGTTAAAACCAAAATAATTCTTAAATGGGCCATGGAGTTAAAGTTAAACGGTTAAACTAGTTAGGGTCAGATCTCCATCACTGGTTTACTGGCTTATAATATCTGATTATGCACTAATCATCAGTTAGCTAACAATAACTAACCTTTGGTTATTCAACATAGCCAACATAGCCATGGGTCATCATCTATAAATGGGTCATTTTCCGTAGCTATAGCAGCTATGTTCAATAACCAGAGGGTATATTTACTCCAATAAACCCATCGAAGTTTGCCTTCACCCGTTGCTCGAGTTGCTGCTTCCTCTCTGAACTTCTTGGCATCATCCCTTAGGCGACGAGAATCCAAGAATTTGGGCGGTCAAAATAGGGCTACGGACACCAACAGATCCATTCTTTCTTGGTCCGTTTTAGTACTAAACCACACTAAACCATCTAGATTATCCAGATTTAGGGCTTCCAATTGTTTTGATCCAGATCCCAACCTTGAGACTTTAAAGCATAACCATTTTAACCATTTCACGAGGCAGAGCAATTCCCAATAATTCACGGCGGCCAGGTTGCAAACTTGTGCCTGGAAAGAAATGGAAATATTGACCTCAGAGTCTGAGAGACAACGTTTAAGTAAATGCTACACGCACACAGTTTGCAAACTATGGGTCAAAAACAACCAGATATAGTTTGTTTAAAACTCAGGGGGTAAGATCAATAGGGTGGTAAGATCAAGTCAAACATGTACACCCCAATGGCAAATACTATATAGTAACAGGGTTGTCCAAATGACCCTCTTGAAAATCAAATGATGAAAACAAATTTTGAGTCCCACAAACAAAATCAAACAAACAAATGATGGCAATCAGCTGGATTTCTTTTTCGCACACAGATCGGACTCCCCCTATTAACTATTGAGTTTTTGTTGGCTCGATCACCAAAGGGTGCTTTACAAAGATGAAGGCTTGGCTGGAGTGACAAGTTAACTGGATTTCCTCGAGATGAAACTCTATTTGCTGTAGTATTTTTGTTGAGTAAATTATGTTTTATTTGCATCCGATTGATATCAAAGAGAATAGTTTAGCCTGGTTTTCATTTGTTTTGGGCCTTATTGAAATCAAATAAATTATGCGCTCCGGAGTGTGCAATTTATTTTAAACAATAGTCAAAACCATTGAATACCAGGCCACGCTATCAACTCAAATATATTATACCTCATGGAATCCTCATGGAATCCATGAAACTTCCTGTATCTTTCGATTTGTTAAACAACAGTTAAACTAAATCACGCGCTCCACAGCGCGCAATTCATTCAAATAAAGTTCAAAGCCATTTAGTACCAGCCTAAACCATTGTGGACATGAAGCCTACTTTATTCAACAAACATATTAAAATAAATTACGCGCTCCGGAGCGCATAATTCACCATATCAAGTTCAAAGTCATTTGGTACCAGCCTAAACTATTGTCTTGTTGCGCAATTCTTCTTGAAGGCGGAACGGCGCGAACCCCATTGTTGAGTGATTCTTCTAGAACAGGGATTGGCCCGAACCCCACTGTTGAGTGATTCTTCTTGAACGGGGATTGACCCGAACCCCACTGTTGAGTGATTCTTCTTGAACGGCGATTGGCCGAACCCTACTATTGAAAGATTCTTCTTGAACGGGGATGGCCGAACCCCATTGTTTACTGGTTCTTCTTGAATGGAGATTGGTCTGAACCCCACTGTTGAGTGATTCTTGAACGGGGATTGGCCGAACCCCATTGTATTAGTGGCTCTTCTTGAACGGGGATTGGCCCGAACCCCACTGTTGAGTGATTCTTCTTGAACGGGGATTGGCCCGAACCCCACTGTTGAGTGATTCTTCTTGAACGGGGATTGGCCGAACCCCAACCCCACTGTTGAGTGATTCTTCTTGAACGGGGATTGGCCCGAACCCCACTGTTGAGTGATTCTTCTTGAACGGGGATTGGCCCGAACCCCACTGTTGAGTGATTCTTCTTGAACGGAGTGATTGGCCCGAACCCCACTGTTGAGTGATTCTTCTTGAACGGGGATTGGCCCGAACCCCACTGTTGAGTGATTCTTCTTGAACGGGGATTGGCCCGAACCCCACTGTTGAGTGATTCTTCTTGAACGGGGATTGGCCCGAACCCCACTGTTGAGTGATTCTTCTTGAACGGTGATTGGCCGAACCCCATTGTTTAGTGATTCTTCTTGAACGGGGATTGGCCCGAACCCCACTGTTGAGTGATTCTTCTTGAACGGGGATTGGCCCGAACCCCACTGTTGAGTGATTCTTCTTGAACGGGGATTGGCCCGAACCCCACTGTTGAGTGATTCTTCTTGAACGGGGATTGGCCCGAACCCCACTGTTGAGTGATTCTTCTTGAACGGGCATCCTAGGCAATGAGTGAAATCTACTCAATTAGGTAGTAGGGAAAAACCTAACCCCCTTGTTGAGTGATTCGCGTTGAACGGGTCAACAAGGGAGTGAGGAAAAACCTAACTCCCTTGTTGAGTAATTCTTGTTGAATAGGTGACATCAATTGGAACACAAAGGGCCCAACAAGGGAGTGAGATAAAACGGAACTACCCTCTTGAGTGATTAAACTTGAATCACTCAACAAGGGAGTTAGGTTTTTCCTAACTCCCTTATTGAGTGGATTTGTGTTTTGCCAAGATTCCACTGCCAATCGAAGCTGATGGCTGATCCAATCCAGCTGCGGAATCATGTGGGGACAATTCCTCCCCTAAATGCAAAACATCACCATCAGCGCCAAACAGGCAATAGAAGGGAGTGGAGATGGAAGAAAATGGCGAGTCCATGTAACCACACTTAATCGTGACATTATAGTGTCTCCATTTCCCACCAACAAAAAATGATAAACAATTTGAAAAAACATACTTAGACAAGTAGATTACTGCTTTCATAAAAGTGAGCGTGTACATGCCCACAGTAATGGTAGCATCAAGCTGCGGAATGAATCTGAACATATCTGAGCCCAAGGGCCCCAACAAAGATGTTGGTATATGGAGTCCGTAGCCTGATGTTAAATGGTTTTGAATGCCATTTAAAGTAAATTACACCTTCAGTATTTGAATGTGTTGAACAAAGTACGTTTCATTTAGTTACATGGGATCAACACGCGAGACAAAAGTTTAGGCTTGTAATAAACGGCATTGAACTTTTTTTGATCAAATTACGCGCTCCGGAGCGCGTAATGATTACGCGCTCCGGAGCGCGTAATTGACTTTAGTATTTAAATGTATTGAATAAAGTACATGTTTCTTACATTGGGTCCAATAATATAGGCCCTATAGGCTGGTAGTAAATGGCTTTGAACTTTATTTGAACATATTACGCGCTCGAGAGCGCGTAATGATTACGCGCTCCGGAGCGCGCAATCAACTTTAGTATTTAAATGTATTGAATAAAGTACATGTTTCTTACATTGGGTCCAATAATATAGGCCCTATAGGCTGGTAGTAAATGGCTTTGAACTTTATTTGAACAAATTACGCGCTCGAGAGCGCGTAATTATTACGCGCTCCAGAGCGTGTAATTGACTTCAGTATTTACATGTATTGAATAAAGTACATTTTTCTTACATTGGGCGCAATCAACTTTAGTATTTAAATGTATTGAATAAAGTACATGTTTCTTACATTGGGTCCAATAATATAGGCCCTATAGGCTGGTAGTAAATGGCTTTGAACTTTATTTGAACAAATTACGCGCTCGAGAGCGCGTAATTATTACGCGCTCCAGAGCGTGTAATTGACTTCAGTATTTACATGTATTGAATAAAGTACATTTTTCTTACATTGGGTCAATATACGAAGCAATACTATAGGCTGGTACTGAATGGCTTTGAACAAATTACGCGCTCCGGAGCGCGTAATTATTACGCGCTCCGGAGCGCGTAATTGACTTCAGTAGTTACATTTTTTGAAAAAAGTGCGTTTCATTTAATTACATGGGATCAGCATACGAGACAATAGCTTAGGCTGGTACTGAAAGGCTTTGAACTTTATTTGAATGGATTCCGCGCTCCGGAGCGTGTAATTGACTTCAGCATTTACATGTGTTGAAGAAAGCGTAAGTTACCATTTTTTGCTTAATACAGGGGATCCAACCAATCAGACACCGTTAGGACTGGTACTAAATTTAATGGCTTTTTGTTGATACTTTTGGTGCGTGGATTACGCGCTACGGAGAAAGTAAGTTATTTACAGCGTATGTCCGTGAGCGAGCACTTGTCTCGTTATTATTTACATTTGTAGAAGAAAGTGGTTTTCATTTAATTGCATGGGATCACCATACGAGACAATATAGTTTAGGCTGCTACTAAATGGCTTTGATCTTGATTTGAATGGATTACGCGCTCCGGAGCGCGTCATTATTACGCGCTCCGGAGCGCGTAATTGACTTCAGTAGTTAAGAGTGTTGAAAAAAGTGCGTTTCATTTAAATATATGGGATCAGCATACGAGACAATAGCTCAGGCTGGTACTAAATGGCTTTGAACTTTATTTGAATGGATTACGCGCTCCGGAGCGCGTCATTGTTACGCGCTCCGGAGCGCGTCATTTTTACGCGCTCTGGAGCGCGTTATTGACTTCAATATTTAAATGTGTTGAAAAAAGTGCGTTTCATTGGGTCACTATACAAGACAATAGTTTAGGCTGCTACAGAAAAATTGAGCCAAATTCCAACAGTTAAAAGTGATTTTCTGAATGATATCAAATGGAGCTTTTGGACGACCCTGAGTAAGTAAATACGAGTATTTGATTCTCATATATTATTTTCAAGTATCATTACAATCAATTACGTATTACTATTAATTATTATTAGTTTTTTTACATTATCACCATTTATTAATATTATTAGTATCTAACACAAAATGTAAAACACCAATGGTATATTTATATTCTTGCTATACTACTATAATCAGTATGTTTATGATCAATTACCATTATTAATGTTATAATACATTATCATCATACAGTATATTATTAATATATGACACTAAACATAATCATATCATTGTATCATTATAACAATATTGTCATATATTATCAAATGGTAATCATACATATTATCAGTATACAGTATAAATATACGGTTACATGTTAAATGAATTTAAATGATACATTGTGATACATATTGTTTTTAGTTTGTAACACTCAGGTGGCAAAAAAAACATCACCCCAACATGGCGACTTTGTCTAACATCGGGCGGCTTTTCACGAAGCGTTTCAGCTGCATGGCGCCGCCCGGGCGGATCTCCTGACGCTGAGCCTATTAGTATAGCTGCTATGAAAAAAGACATGGAAACACTATGGGAAAAAAAAGAAAAACCATGAAAAAACATGGGAAAACCATGGAAAAAAAAAACATGAAAAACAATGAGAAACCCACTATTGTTCATGGACAAAATCATGGATAAATCACGGATAAATCATCTATTGAATCTATTTCTATGAATCATTTTTCATAGCGACATGTTAAATAACCAGGTTGGGTAGTTGTCGGAATGCTATCAAAATGTGCAAGCCTGATGAAGAAAGCCACTACCCATCCCGAACCTCAGTTATCCCAGTGGCAAACTGGAATATAATGGAAATACACTTCCTTATATCCAATGGTCCTGGAAGTAGGGTACCGTTCCGAAACCATGCTCGTTTTGCTGAAGATACCGTCATGTTCATGTCAAAAAAGGGGAGGAACGTCATATTTTCCAGATGCTACGGTGCTTCACTCAGTAACCGAAGGCCATGCAAAAATGTGTTGGGAAAACGAACCATGTCCCTTCGGAATATGGCAAAACGGTTCCAAATCGAGATTGCCTAGGCACATGAGCGAATCGAATCCAACAGTCACGTGAACATAACGTGTATAATGTCAAGTAATCAACTTTGCACATGAATTTGTCTTAAAATGGTACTTAGATGGGCCATGGGGTTAGCTTTATAATCGGTTAATAAATACATTATACTTGGGACATCTTGGGACTTTGTAGTTTGTAACCCAGTTACCAACTAGGAATCGAGTTTTTCCCATGGCCCTCCAAATGCTATTCCAATTTACGACTTTGGGTGAGACAAAGCCACACAGATCGTTTCCCCACGTTCTCCTCTTCCCACTCTTCCAGTTCAATCGTTTCCGCTTCGCGCCTCAAAGATGCTGGAACAGACTGCATGAACATATGTATAAAGGAATTATAGTCATCCTGGAGTAGATAGAATATAGAAATTTCAGAAAATCCCATATGCTATCATGGGAAAATATTTGAAAATCCTAGATTCTATCTACTTCAGGATGATGATTAACATGATCTCCCTCCCAGTGAATTATGAAACAACTGGAATGGTGAAGGAAAGCAG